GTTCAAATGTTTGATTTAGTTAATTTGATCTCCTCTTTTGTATATACGACAACACCAAAACATGGAGAATATACTATGGTGGTATAAAATTACTCTGCCCTCACACCTACAACAGTGTATCTACAGCAGAGATATGTAGTATATAATATGGTGATACATAATTACTCCGCAATCGCACATATGACAAAGGAGATATATCAGAAATATGGAGTATGTATAATGGTGCTACATAATTACTCTGACTTTGCACCTACGACAGAGTATCTACAGTGGAGATATATGAAGTATATACTATGGTTATATGTATTTACTCCGCCCTTGCACCTACAACAGTGAATCTACAACGAGGATATATGGAGCATATACTATGGTGGTTCGTAAATACTTCACCATCACACCTACGAAAGAGGAGATATAGCAGAAAATCTGGAGTATATACTATGGAGGTATAGAAACCTCTCCACTATCACAAATACAACATGGCGGAGACCAAAACACGGCAGAGATCCAAAGTTAGCTGGGTGAGAATTTGAGTTAAAAATATTTCATGAAGGACCTAAAAAGAAAAAAAAATCAAGTTTTCAAAATATTGCCTGAGTCCCCTCTGTAATCTTGAGCAATTTTCTTTACTCACAGCAAAATTTACAAATTATTTGTATATTTTGCCTAATTTGCTACAAATAATATCAAATAAAACCTATTTTCAGGTTCCTTTACCTTACATAAACACTTAAATAACTGTTGAACTCCCAGATTTGAGTAAGATAAAACAGATTTTAATAAGTAAATTCAAGATTTTGAGCTGCAGAAATACACAAAAAAACATGAAATTTATCTGTTTCTTAAGTGTCCTGTCCTGCAGTTTGGGTAAAGGAAGCTTAAAATAAATGATATATTGAGATTCTTAACAGTAAAAGAAATTTAAAACATGAATTTTTTTATCAACTGTTGTTGTGTGTAGAGAAAAATGGTCAAGATTACACAGTGGACTCAGGCAAGATCTGAAAAACTTGATTTTCTTTTTAGGCCCTAAATGAAATATTTTCAACTCAACATGACTCTGTTTCTGTACCATCATAGATTAACACCATATACTTATTTTTGAGATCAAGTTCAAAATCCTTAGAGACTCGATATTTGACTAATGTGTGGTGACAATTACGAATTGAGGTGGCCTGCACTCCCTGCACTCCCTCCCTCATTGGATAACAAAACATCATTTATTGCTTATTATTTCCAATATCGCCTACATTTTTGATAATATTCTTTTTAAAAAGAGGGCGGGGGGCTGATTTTTCAAGATAATATTATTTGTGAATTAGTCAAGACAAAACAAAAAGAAGAAAATCTTTAAAATCGGAATAGATTTTGACTGAAGGGCCCTAAATCTGGGAGTTTTTAAGTTCGTCAACTAGCGCTACTTGGCAACCCTTTCTTGGGAGTGTCCCGTATAAATATTATGGCTCTCTCCGACTGCCCTGCCATCTAGTGGCAGTGTTAACATTAGTTTTAGAGAAGCTTTCTAATTGTAGAGGTACAAAGGTTGCTGTGATTCATATGATGTTCATAAGCGGATTTAATCATTAACGACATGAATACATACAGAAAATCGATTTAAATTCAAAACTGGGGCCATGGGGAGGTTGGGGGGATGGAAAGGAAAATTTCTCTCAATACATAGACTACCCGCAGATTTGCTTAAAATTTAAGATATGTTTTTCTCAATTTATACAACAATCTTTGTCAGGATCATAAAAAAATATGAGAAGGGGGGGGGGGGTGGTGAGACCTTTTCTTCCTCCGAGTGAAATCGAGAAATTTACATGATCGTCTTGAGATAAGATTTAGAATTTTATAGTTTCATTTTTAAAATAAGCCTGCATTATGCATAAAAAGCGTAAACAGGGGGAGGGGGATATAAGTCCGGCCTAAGCACCCCCCCCCCTCCCCCTGAATCAGTAAAACGAAACGAGCAAAATGAAATCTTTCAAGCCCCCCCCCCCTTTCCAACAGAAACTTGCGCATCACAAACAAGTTTTAACGCGTCTCGCGTGATGCCTAGGATGCATGGATCCAGCAAGATAATACATTTGTCTGAAAAATATTAAGATTAATTCCAAAGAAAATTATAACATCTATTATAGTCATATGAAATTATTCAGTTATCACAAAAAAACATTCAATTACATATCTAGACATTTGACATTTTTATAGATTTATTTAAATGTTTGAAAGTTAAAAATGTTAGAACGAGGAAATGAATTACTAAATATAAAAAACCCGGTATGATATTCAATTAAAACAAAAATAAATAAAACTATATTACTTAAAAGCTTTTTGATTTAGTTTAAACTGGTTTGACACAATTGTGGGTCCTAGTACTGCGCTGCTTCCACCAGTACTTAACAAGTAATACAGTCTTCATTTTAGTTTGTAAAAGCACTTTTGGGAAACAATAGCAAAGGATGTACATTGTACAGAGATATAACGTTGCTAATTCCATATAGATCTAAGTAAACCCTTCTAAAAAAATCTCTCTTGTAGAAATCAGATATCTTAAATAAAATGTCATAACTTTGTGGCAGTCAGCTGTCAGATTTTACATTTCTCACGACGGCTGGTTTCATACTTCATTGAAGTATTCGGAATAAATATAATCTTTAACATTCTTAAATGTACTGTAGACGGCAGACGTAAAATTGATTTCAATTATAAAACAAAGAAAAAGCAGCATGTACGATTCACAAAGTTAGGGTACCTTTGTCTAATTGCATGAATGAATGAATGAATGAAAGGATGAATGAATGAATGAATGAATGAATGAATAAGATACAATGGATTTTCTAGATTAAAATTGCATTTTGTCAATGATGGTTACTCTGAACAGTAAGTGACTTTTGGATTTATGCAAGAAGGAAAATGTTAGAATTCAACAGACAAGGTAGAAAAACGACGATATGCTCCTCATTGTTGTTCAGATGACGGTTAAACGGGTACCATTGTGAATCGGATAGACAATTGAATAGAGGGTCACATGAAATTACGTCTTACGATCCCTTTCAATCAAAATACAGGTTACAGAATACTGCAATAAATTATCTCTTCAGATTTGCATGTTACAATTTTAATTTAATTGCTAGTTGGTGAATTTTAAACAATAAGAACACTGAATTCTATTTTAAATCAGATCTATTTATTGATTTTTGAATGCTGCTCCATAGATATTTTAGCAATCTCAGTTCCCAGAGTGTTCATGTTCTCCTGAATATAAATACAAATTAAATTAATTTGATTACAAATATTACGCTAAAATGCAAGCCGACAATAAATTGGCAATATTTCCCCTTTTAATTGTCTAAGACAACGAAGGAAGAACTAACTAATATCAAAATATTATGCTCAGGAAGAAAATGTAATAATCAAAATTATTGTTATAATATTTAAAGAAAAAACCGGGGACTAATCTTAATTATTCACCGAAAAATAATAAAATATATAAACAAAATAATCCATTTCGTAGTTAACTAAACGACCATTTAACAAGATAATGATTCACCTCAAGATCGATCAAATCAATATATAAAAAAGTATTGCTAAAATGGCTGCGTATAAAATCTGATGAGAATGTGGAAAAACAAATTCCATATTCTTTGGTAGAATAAGATAATATAGCCATTGGTTTTAAGTTACTATTTGCAATCTTTCTTAATAATTAGTTTTCAACCCTCCGTAGCCATGTTTATGAGTAATTAAAATAACTCTGACTGATGAGTGACTGTTTTATTTAATCATTTATTTATTGAGTAATTAAAATAACAAGGGCCTTGCACTTCCCTCCGTTGCCATATTATTGAGTAATTAAAATAACAAGGGCCATGCACTTCACCCCTCGGTAGCTAAGTTATTGAGTAATTAAAATAACAAGGGCCTTGCACTTCCCTCCGTAGTCATATTATTGAGTAATTAAAATAACAAGGGCCTTGCACTTCACCCCTCGGTAGCCAAGTTATTGAGTAATTAAAATAACAAGGGCCTTGCACTTCACCCCTCGGTAGCCAAGTTATTGAGTAATTAAAATAACAAGGGCCTTGCACTTCACTCCTCCGTAGCGATGTTATTGAGTAATTAAAAAAACAAGGGCCTTGCACTTCACCCCTCCGTAGCAATGTTATTGCGTAATTAAAATAACAATGGCCCTTGCATTTAACGCTTGGTAATGACAGAAGAAGCAGATGATAACCAAAAACCAACTTGCGCAAAAATATAAAAACAGGTCTTGAGAAACTTTGACTTTCCCTTGGAGAGACTGAAGTTGTTGCTGAAGACCGGAAAGATGAAGAACCTTACTAGGTCTCTTTGCCCCGACAGTGGCGGAGTTAGCAAAGTACCGAAAATTTTTGGAGAGAAAACTTCCATTGCGCGGCAGGGGCGTCGAGTAAATGATTTATAATTCTCAAAATGGTGTTGATCATTACCTTAAGCGTGATATTCTTTAGTAAAGTATCTTCTAGGACAGCCTGCAACTTCTTGTTCATCTCCAGGCACAACTCGAAAGTTAAACCTAGAATTTAGTTAGAAATCAGGAATAATTGTAGAAGTAAAAAAAACTCGAATTAAAAAATCGTAAATAAATTAATACTGATTACTGAATAAAAGAAATATATAAATAAATGGACACTGGACAGGAGTCGGAACTTTTGTATTTTTAGTCCCTTTAGAACTGTGTAGATTATTGCTACACAAGTTCTAACCTTAGATGAAATATAAGATACATTGAAGTAATAATGGTCTCACCTGAATCTGTGACTTTAGAACCGTAAATGCTCGACATAATTCCTCCCTGCTGGGAAATCACAGCCTGAAATTTTAAAGGCTCTTTTAATTTTTTAAATTCAAATACTTGTAATTTTTTAGAAAAAGGTGAACAACGATTATTCAGAGACAATATAAAGGGAAATGATAAAAATAAATGTTTTCTTTTTTAAAGGCGGGAGGGGGGGGGACTCAAAGTGAATAAATACTAAAGTGGGCAAACTCATAGTTGGATGGCGACATTTTATGTCCCAAGTATTTTAGAATAATTTGCGGGGTCCTTATAATCTGTTTGTACAGTGTGTACAGTACTGAATTAACTGGACTCCATTTGAGTTTTCTAAAATTTAAAACATTTCATAAATACATATATACTATAAAAACATTAAAAAAAAACAGACTAAAACTCAAAAAACATAAACCTTGATCCCAAAAGAAACACTTAACACAAGTGAATACACAAATAAATCGAATAAAATCACCATTCCTCTTCCAAAATATATAAATATAAAATTAAATAAAAATTATGTGAGTTAAAACAGATCAGGCCAAAGCTTTACAATAGGAAAATTTCATGTAAAAATCAAACCAAAATAAAATCATAAAATGATTAAACGAATCAAAAAATTGTTAAACTTGATGTAGAAAACTAAGCTCCGAACCAAAATAATATCCGAAAAAATGTGTCCTAAAAAGTCACACGAAACTAGCACAAACCTCGTCTTGAAGAAGGACTCGCATAGTTTGCTTGAAAAATAAATTCATATTATTTTACATAACCCTGATCACTTCTCCGAAATATTTCCAGAGAAAAGGCACAGATTTTAATTTTTTTTTTGATACAATTGGACAAATTATTTTTTTTTATTTGCTTCAGATCAAAAACATAAAGTATCAAAGCAGGTTGCAGGAGAAGTTTGATTCTCTGAAAATTACCCGTCTTCCCATAATTTTAAAACTATTCTTCATGATAAAAAAAATAAATTCAAAAAGTGGGAAGTTTGATTGATTGACAGGACTGACCTTATGAATATCACTTTGTTCTGAGACGAGTGCTCCAGGTTCAATATTATGAATATAGTGCTGGATAATCTTGTTCTTCTTCCTCACCTCAAGCACCAGCTGCTCAACATGCTCCTCCAGGAACTCAAGCTTCTCCTGTAAACAGGGGGGGCATATTGTAAACAAGGATTTGCTTAAAAAAACTAATATTACTAAGAGATTCTGTGAACGTTTTTTTTAAGATGTGGAGAAATATGAAAATTTTCACATAATACTCATTAGTCATTCATATAATTGAGGACATACACAAAGTTTTACAATTTTCATCTAAATAAATGCTTATTTAACCGTTCATTCAACTGTTTGATTATTAAAATATTCACTCAAAAAAACTATTAAACTCGTCCCCCCCCCGCAGTAATTATTGAAAAAATACTCCAGCTACTCGATATCCATTATATTTGGTTCAAAACCTACCTGTCGTCGAGCACAAGATCGTTGAAGTTTTACTATTTTCTCAACCAGCATTTGTGTATCAGGTACAGGACCATCCATCTTGATAATTTTCAATTAGAATTTATGCATATAAACCTCAAATTTCCTACGCAGTATTTATATCTAAAAAATTTCTTTTTGTCAGTATAAAAACAATCAACACGTTCTTCGTTACACTACACACTAAATCTCATGTTTTTTTCTAATCTTTGAACAACAGAAGCCATGGTGATCATCTACCAACCACCCAAACTTTTATTAAAGTCCGTTTTTTGAGACACCCAGCTAACTTGAACGTTCAATTACCTGATGATTCCTATTCACATCAGAATTCCACCTTTTCATCCCAACTCCAGATTCACGAACTGTCAGACGATCTTGATCGAATCGACGATCATCATAGCTACTGTTCGAGTGCATTGATATTGTTGGGGAGACAGGGTTAGCTGACAAACTAGGAGAAACCGGTTTTAATAAACCCAGAGAACTATCCTAAAAAAACACATAAAATAACTTTTTTTTAAACACATTTAACAGAGGGCATAAGTTGTGTGTCTCAAATATCTGATTTAAATGCTTATGAATGAACCTGGATATCTGGTTTATGTAAGGATGTACTAGAACTAGATCTGGAGATGGGACTCAAGTTTGGTGAACTGGATCTCTCTGGATCCTGGGGATCAGTTCGTTTTTTGGCTCCATTCAATTCCTGAATTTAAAACTTGATATGAAATTGAAAACTTTTAAATCCTGGTCCAATGTTTATAATAAGGAATGGGGGAATCTTCCAATTTTTTGGCTGCACGCCTAATTAGTGATCGAAATTTCTTCAACAAAATCAAATTGAATTTTATCAAACTTAACATCTCCACCATCCCCTTAAGAAGAGCTCCATTTAAATCAACAGACGTTTTTGTGATTTCTTTAAAAAAGACATAAAATAAACATTAAACATACATGCTAGGCTAAATGCTGATTGCTATGGAGAAAAGGAATAACTATTATGCCTGAAAAAAATCAAACCTTTAATTTCGGTCAGACGTCACCGCCTTACGCACAAACACAACAAAAGGCAACAAAAATCAATGGTAAAATATAATGGTAGGTGCCGTGAAATCCCAACCCATCCTAATTTTCTTCGCAACCTCGCGTGCACATGACTATTGACTAGTGACTACCTGTTTTTCACGCAAGGTTGCCAACAAGTAGGAGGAGTGGGGGGGGGGGGGGCCAGAAAAATAATGAGAAGACAGGGCCGAAATTACCTTGGTCAGTTCCCTTATTCTAGCAGTATGCTGCCGGCGCATAACATTAACCTCGTTCCTAGCATCTACCGCCTGCTGGACAGCCAACTCAGACTCAGATATTCGCTCAGACAACTCAACCTATTTAGGCAGGAAAATTGAATTCGAAATATTAGGTTAGCAAAAATTTATTTGCAAACAAATTTCGTGGATGTGGTCGAAGGATATATTTTCAAAAATTACCAAAACTATTTTCGAAGTTTTCCGCTGAAAAGGTTTGTCCACTTTGTAGTAATTCCCAAAAAATCATTNCCCCATCAGGCATCCTTTGCAAGGGTCAGAGGTTCAAGTCCATCTCATACTCCGGGTTTTCAGTTTGATCTTTAGCATGTTTGTTAAGGAGCATTCATGTCATTTTATACCTGAAGCCTTGAATTCTCCGAGGTTAGATTTGATATTTGAAGTTTCAGATCAGATTCAAGATCAGATAACCGAGTCTCAGCTTTGGCCAATAGGTTCACCAATCTAGAGGTAAACATTGAAGAGCATAAGAACCGTCTACTGTCCAATGCATTGTATTTATTTCTTTTTTAAAGAATGTTAATATTAACCCCAAAATCCTTAAAAATTATTAAATAAAAATGCGACTTTCTGATCATTTTAGAACACATAAAAATCTTTCAAAGAGAATCAGAAACTGTTTATCTGTCCTACCTGGAATGTTCCTCCTCTAATAAATTTGCCCGTAGTTCTGTATTAGAAAACTCGGATTGAAGCGTCACATTCTTATCCGTCAACTTCTGCGTAAATTCAAGCAACTCGGACTCCTTACGCCTAACACACGAAAAATTACTAAATGATAAGACAGGAAAAATGTTGATTTTGTAACATGACGTGTATTAGAACTGGTTTTATTTTTTCTTATTATTTTCACTATCAAAAGACACTATATCATTAAATTACACATAAGCAACAAGTAAAGTTTATGAGTTAGTTTGATACAGGTTTCTTGTTTATTATTGTTTCAGGAGTATATATAATAAAAATGATATTTGATGACCACCTGGGGGGAAAAATGAAAAAACGAAAATCAAAATATATCGATTTTCCCCTAAAAATCATTTATTTTTCCCAATTCAGCCAATAAAACCCTCTAAAAATTAAGCGCCAACATAACTAATCAATGGGGGGGGGAATGATTTATAAAGAAAATATAAACCCCTTTATTGCATATCGTATTCCCCCCCCCCCCTTCCATTGATCAGTTCTATGAAGTTCTGAATTTGATTGACGCAAAAAATCAATAATTTACCTGCAGGCTGCCATATCTGCGTAAAGGTCCACTGCGTCAGCACGTAACCGGGTCACTTCACCATCCTGTTATTATTAACATTATTGTCATTTGAAGAGTTAGATTTTAGAAAATGGACGCCCTTAATAATTGCAGTACATTTTACTTGTCACTCTGGAATCTTGACCAGGTGCACCCTGAGAGGAAGGGGGTTATAAGAGAGAAAACAAGGAAAATTTTTTTATTCTTCTTTGACCCCCCCCCCCCCCCCCNGAGGGGAGGGACGTACTGACAAAATATACTCATGTTCAGTGTTCACCTTAGCTGCACACTTCTCCATCTCTCTATCTAACTGTATCTTGACGGACTCTAGCTCTGCAGACTTGGCGTAGAGGTCGACTATCTCCGTCTTCTGGTTCTCCAGGGTCACCTTCATCTCCGATATACTAGATTCATACCCTAACCTTTCCTTCTCAGCAGCCTGCACCTAAACAATAGATAAACTTAAAAATTAGTAACAAGGAAGTTCATAAACTAAGCAAAGGGTGTCCCAGTAATCACAAAACCTGATTCCGGATTTTCTAAGCAATCCCATGTAAACCTGGTAAAAGTAACATTAGCTCAAAACAATGAAGTTCATATACGTGAAATCGGGATTACTAAAATGTGATCTGCCTGATTATACACTCTGAGATGTTAGGTTGTACAAACTCACAAATCAGTCATTTTATACTACCGAGTAAGCACAATTTGGAAAGCTACAACAACAAAAAGAATATAAAGGGAGATGGTGAAGACAAGAAAAGTCGAAAGAATTGATAAAAACATGCTAGTTACATTTTAAAAACTGCTTTATACATTTTACAAAATTTATGTTTCATATAAAAAAATTGTAATAAAAGAATGTAGCGCCAAACCTTGACTGAGAGTTCGTTGTTCTCCTCAATTAAGAGTTTGTGTTTTCTCCTTAATTGATCCAGTTCTTGAGCAGCCACGGAGTCAATCATCAGCTTGACTTCCTGCTCCTTCTCTAGTCTCTTGGTTTTCATCTCGTCCTGCAATCAATCAATCAATCAATCAATCAACCAATCAATATACCACCCTACCCCTATTTCTAGTCAATCATCTCATCTCATCAATTATTAGAAAAAGTTTTTTTTTCAATATCGGAAAAAAAGGATTCTTACCTGCTTGTATTTATTAATAACTTCTTGGCTGTCTGATTTAACTTTATCAATCGAACCTTGAAGTTCGGCTAACTGAATCAGGGTCCGGTCTAAACTATCTTTTGTGTCCCTAAAATAAACACAATATTTCTTAGTGACAATTGTCAAGCCTGTTACATAATCAAATCACAAGTTGATTAGTACTTTTCAAATTTCGATTTAAAATATCGAGTATTGAAGAAAAACTCTCCGAAATGGATCTAAAGAATATTCTGCAATGCAAGTCAAAGATAAAAAGTACTACCTGTGTGCATCAGCTTCTAATTTGAGTTTTGAATATACAGCAGAAATCTTGCTTTCCATTTGCTTTACTTCTTCTTTCCACTTTTCCCCTTCCTTCTTAGCTGCTATCGTTTCCTTAATATTTTAATGTATATAAACCTTCTATCCGCTTAAACTCTTCCTTCCACCTTTTCCCTTCCTTCTTAGCTGCTATCGTTTCCTTAATATTTTAATGTATATAAACCTTCTATCTGCTTAANTTGTCTCCTTAATTTTTCAAGATATAAACCTTCCATCTTCTTACCCCTCTTCCTTCCTTCCACATCTTATCTTCTTTCTTAGCTGGTAAAGTTTCCATAATATTTTAAAAAAAAACTTTCCATCCGCTCACCCTCTGCCTTCCACCTCTTCCCTTCTTTCTTAGCTATTATTGTCTCTTTTATTTTTTGCCATACTCTGACTGATGATTGATGAAAATTTTTGATCCCACCCTCTAATTACCTGAGCTCTAGTATCACATAGAGCCTGGAGACGGGTTCGTTCATTTCCCAGAGTTTTGATCTTGTACTGGAAACCTTCCTTGTCCTAGAATATATTGTATCTGCAAATATTTATGATTACTTAACTATTTCCTATACTATCAATCTAATAAACGGAAAACAGTTGTATAACATATTTCACCGAACTAAATTATCTTTGGTTTGAAAAACATTTAGTTTTTGTACCTTAAGTTTTACAAAATACTTATAACTTTTAATGTATTGTATACTAACTCAATGAGCAATGAATATGAAAATCAGCAAAATTCAAAGAAAGATGTGGGAAACCGAAACGCATTTTTATGCAAATTTTCTCTTACAGCAGAAATTTTAATCCTTCAAATCAAAACCGATTAATGCCTAATTCAGTTCTCAAGTTCTTGAATTATGTAAATCTTGATCGGTTTCAACAGATAAAATTAAAATTATTTACTCGATACGAATGAAAACGCATCAATATTGGCTTGAAAACACACAATGTTAATAACTGACCTTCAACGCGTCGCTTAATTTTTTTTCAGCGGCTTCTTTTCCCCTCTTGGCAATAAGAATATCCTTCTCTCCCATGGCGTACTTGATCACCATACTCTCCTTCTCACGGTTGGCCTGCATTATGCATTTAGAAGTCGACGAGAAGAATGATGATGATTTTCTAAGATTGGGTGTAAAATAACCATCGGACATCAACCGGTACGTTTTTCCACTTTTGGCTACTTTTTACTCAATAATCATTTCATAAACTGATTCAAGGTGTTAAGTGAAAACGATATTAGAATTTCATTATTTACAGAGGGGGGGTTTTAGAAGTTTTAAAAAAATATATTAAAAGTTATATTAAATTCTAGTGAGAAAAATAATTTATCAGTGGCCGAATTTAAAGAATTTGAGCGGCGGTTTAAATTTAAGCCGCGGTTTAAATATGGTTGGTTCCATTTCAAATTGTATCAAATGTTTAAAGATTTAAGCCGGCGCTTAATTTAAACCGGGTTTTGGCGGATTAAAACCGCGGCTCAAATTCTTTAAATTCCATCTCTGGTTAAGTCGAAAGCCAATTTTAATGTTTAGTCTGAAAACTTTCGACAAATAACTGAAAATAAATATGCAGGGTTTAAATTTGATGAAAAGCGAGACACAGTTGAACTAAATAGACTTAGTTCAACTACTTCTTTTGTGCCCAAGCTCTATTATAAGAGAACAATGTCCGAATTTAATGAATTTGAGCACCGTCTTAAATCCGCCAAAAACCGGTTTCAATTGAGCGCCGGCTTAAATCTGGAAACATTGAATACAGTTTTAAGTGAAACCAACCATATTTGAGCGGCGGCAAAAATTTAAGCCGCCGCTCAAATTCTTTAAATTCGGCCTCAGGTTCAACTTAGCTTAATTAGTTTAAATTCTTCTTGCTGTTTATTAAATTTGGTTTAAACTAATAATTAAATGGAAAACAAGCACGAGGATACTTTTATTTTTAGAAACTTATCAAATAAACCTGCTCATACGCTTTCTTGAGTTCTTGGAACTTCCTGGTTGAATCCTCCAGGACCTTCTTCATCTCCTTTTCCGTTTTTTCTTTTGTCTTCCTCAGCTCTGTTTCTAGATAGTTAAAAGGGCTGTTCACAATTTTAGTTAAATGTCCACATCAACCTTTATCAACGCAAGGTTTACTAAAAAAAATTCTGGCAATCCATTTTTTAGGGGCAGCAGATGGTCTAATTATTTTCTTTCTCATTTTTGTCTGTTTTTAAGACATCATTTTTTAAGGAAATAGCGCAAAGCTATTTTTTTTTCTAACTCCTAGTCGTTAAAATTATTATTTTTTATTAAAACCTGTGAATAGAAGGTCATCGTCTTTTCTTGTGAGCTCCACCCTTAGCATCTCTATCACCTAAAACATAGTTTGAATCAGTCAAGATCAAAGTTTAGATCAAACCCAAGATTCAAGACAAATCTAAAGAATAGAAAAAAATTACGTTAAGTGTGCCTAATTTGATACACAAATTAACTTCAGTTAACCCCAGATAACTTAAAAATAAAAAATAAACTAGGACCAACTATTATCGTCGATTAACGCAAATCAACCAATATTTATAAATTACAGTAAAGTAAATTTAACCTTTATCTGTTGAAACCGAGCAACAGTCAAAATAATGAATTTATCCTAGTTATTATACCTGAACATTGACAGTTTTATTTGCTTTTCTTTTTAAAAATTACTTAGGAACATTGTAAAGAACACTTTGAAAGAAAGAAAATATATTTTCACATTTTTGATAAAGGTTTAAGGGCACCGTTGATAATCAAACATACCCCATTTTAGATGGAAGGTCACTTGAAATAACAACGATAGTTCCTTTAAAGTTTTACCAACCTTCTTTTGATCCTCAGCTTGAGAAATGAGTTCACTATTTTGCTTTTCCAGCTCCGCTAAGGACAACCCATTATTCATTAATTCTGTGTCTGGAAGCTGTTTATCAATTTCATTCTGCAATTCTGAATCTGTATCCTTGTCTAACCCATTCTGAGATTCTGTGTCCGAGGTCTCTCTATGGACTGGTATTAAATTAACCAAATTCGTTTGACCATTAGACTTGATTGTATTCTGATATAGCTCAACTTGTTCAGCATCTGTGTTGGTAACTAATACTAGGTCTGTATTCCCATCTCGGAAATCCAATTGTGATTTGGAATTATTTACGGAACTAGGGATTGTAGAAACAGGAGCTTCCGAAACAGGACCTTCCAAAACTGGAGCTTTCGAAACAGAAATTTCCGAAACAGGATATTCAGAAACAGAAGTTTTCGGAATAGGAGTTTGGGAAAGAAGGATATCGGTTCCATGATGTAATGACGGGTAAAGTTTCTCAGCTTGTATTTCTGAATTCTAAAAATTTCAATATAAATAAAAGGAACACGAAATTGTACTAACTGAATAAGATTAGTTTATTACTAAAACATACAACATCATTACGGCTCTAAGCCCTCGTCTCTTATTGAATAGTTTTCTCTGAAATTGCTCAAACTTATAAAGATTTTTCATAAAAAGCATTATCTTAATACAAAGATTGAATAAAAAAAGATAACTCGAAAACAATTGCTCCCATTTCATTGTTAACAAAGGTTAAAGAGAGTGTTCGCGAAAAATGAAAGGGGGTATAGGCTTAATGCGATAAAAAGCGCTTTTAATCGCTACTAATCTTACTTCTATCTGTTGCGTCTATAAGGAGAAAATTGTTAAAAACGACTCACACCAAAGAACGCAGCGTCCATACAAATTCGGAAAGATGCAAAATTCCACTCGGATCGTAAACAAATCAATTTAATTCTAAACAAATCATTCAGATATTAAAAACAGTAGTCATCGATTATTTTTCGACGCATTAGTATTTAGTTAATATTTCATTTTTCATTTTTCGCGAACACTCCCTTTAATAAATTAAGATCTTTACCTCCAACTTATCTTCCAAAGATTTTCTGATAACTTCTTTGTTGTTGCTGCTTACATCTTTACTTACTTCTACAGGTTCAGCAATACATCCATCTTCAGGACCATTCTTTAGGATAGGGTCTAGTCCACTGGGTGGTCCATTTTCTTTCTCCGATTCGTCCGATCCGGGAAAGACGATTTCTCCTTGCATCTCGTCCCCGGCCACTTCGTCCATCATTTTGGCATCATCTGAAATCGTCATTAGATAAATATATTCACAAATGAAGAAATAATATCATCCGTAAAATTCGGACGAAGAAATGTTTTATATATATTAAGATTGATAAAATATTTATAATTACGTTTTAACGCTTGAATAAAATGCTATTGATCGAGAGAAAATATCAATATTATTTCATAGAACGTTAAAAACAGTGATTTATCTTTTGTTCTAAGACAAAACCCTTCTTAACGTTGTAACTTTAAAATCTAAAACCTCCCAAATTCCGCTTATTGTGCAAAAATTGTAAATAAAAATAAAAATTCTGAATTTGAAGCTGTTTTCGTCAAAAGAATTTTTTTATTGCCAACACTAATATCTTAAATTCAACCAATTCAGAGGTTACTGTTCCTTATCTTTTTTTTAAATGAAGAAGTTGAGACAATAATTCTATTTTAAGGACGGAACTAAAACAGATCTGATGAGTATAGACAGTAAATCATAAAATAATTAGTTTATTCATTAAACGCAAGCTTTTCCTTCCCTCCACCTCCTTCCTCTTCTCCCAATCCTTCCACCTTCTCATCTGTCCCTGGAGCACTCTTCATCAAAACTTTAAAAGAAGTGGGGGACAGTATTTAGGGAAAGGGGTATATCTACAATCTACATATATCATTCTATCAATAACTTTGGCTTGCCTGGTTTTTTTTAATATCCAATAAACGAACGGCTCAACAGGTCGGACCCAATTTTTTGTGGTTACTCACATAACCCTAGAAGAGATTCATAACTAGAATCTAGTACAATAGATGGCAACGTAGAATTTGTACACTCTCAGCACAGCTGTAATCTGACGTCACAAGTGTCAATTTAATTTTTGTGTCCGACAAAATTATTAATAATAGTAATAAGATAAGATTAGGGTTAGATTTTAACCCCCCCCCCCATCTTCGAGAGCCCAGACCGCCATCGGGGCTAATAAGTGCATGTGTTATTTTTTTCTGTTTTTACACTTTTTTATTTAATCTTGGAAACATGTCCAATAATGAGAGACAATTTTGTTTTCCTTGTTATATTTGACACTTGTGACGTCGTGTATAATTGGTCAATTCCTCTGTTGCCACCTATTCTACTTAATTATTTATTTGGTCATAATAAAAAATTGCCTTAAATAGTCTTTTTGTATTCATTAAACGTCTAAGCGGCTGAACCGATCAGAGCTGAAAAATCTTGTATTAGATACCCTTAATCCAAATTGCTAAATCTCTGTATCCCTACTGTGGACACTTTTGATTTTCTTCTTACTCCTCTCTTTTTGATAATGATATCCCTTGATTCCAACCAATGAGAAACGAGAGTTCTCTCATTGATCGCGAGCAAAATTTCAAAAATTTCTCGGATTCTGATTGGCTGTTTGGTTTCTACAATCGACATGGAATCGAATTGCATTTTTGATACTCTCCTGGGTATTAACGTAAGAGTAAATTATTCTTCAGATTATTCAAAAGAGGAGATAAAGCATTCATCTCGATATCCACAATTCTAAAGTTTTCAGCTCGGGTTAGTTTAAATTTTTGATCTCATATGACCCCAGGGAAGGTGTTATGCCGGTGAGAAAAAACAGGAAAATTTGCTAATTCGTAAAAACGAACTATGGTATCAAGGTATATGGTAAGATGAGTGCCTAGTATTGTTATGAAATGGATTGAATGGGTCCCTCGATGAGACTGATCTTCATGAAGCAGTAGTAAACACTTCTCAGCAAAAGCAGCAATGCAACCTAAAGATTAAAAGAGAATTGAATATATTCTTATAAACCCATACTTAGGCCAGTTTTATACTGTGAATTTGTAGGAATACAGAAAAATGTGAACAAGCATTTAAAGTTAAACCTTATTTTGATTTAGAAAGACCTCCCCCCACGGGTTAGAGAGGAGCATAATTTACGGAGTTAAGATTATATATTAACAATATTTCCATAATACAAAACCGCTATTCAGATAACTTAACACCGTCCTAGTATCAAGATTACATCACCTTGAAATGCTTTAACATGATATAGATATCTAGCTGTGTTTTAAGAAATAATCCAGGGCAGGGGGGGGGGGAAGTCTCCGTAAACCTGAAAGGGACTTCTCACTGCGTTCTGTATCTGTATGAAACTAACTTAAAATATTTACTTAATGCACCAAAAAAGTATTACAAAGGTTTAGGAGTTTCTTTGAAAATTCCATTTAAAAGGAATTTTTTGACGAAAAAAATGACTCGTGAGGGAATATCAAGGGACTATCTTTAATTACAAAAAAATAAAATCTATTCCCTTTAAATATTCTGGACGGGAAGAAAGTAACCTGATCAATATAAGTATGGGAACTCATCTATATGGCCTCTTAAGACATGAATATACAGGTTCAGTTATGTAAACTGGGGGGCTTTTAGATCTATCCTCTTATTTTTATTTTCTTATAATGTTCTAAGAATATCCAGAAATGAAACCATGCTCTTTTATTGAGATGATTATTTCTAAGTTCTAGAAATATGAAAATATCACTTCTTGTGTACAGAAGGAAGTATATTTTTCAGTTTTCTGTAAATAACTTAAAGGATTTTTTAACATCTTTTTGGTTCTTACCAGAAATGCTCCAATATACACCACATACATTCCACCTTTCTCATTTGCAATATGGAAGGTTCCACCTAAATAAAAATTTATAAAATCAAACCAATAAAAAAAGGAAAAAAACCTTTTGTACATAATACAATAAAACTAAAACAAAATAATATTTTTCATATTCCTACTGAAATCCTTAAAACCATGGCTCAGGAGTGGCAAAATTTCAACAATAACATCAATTTTTAAAACTGATTAAAAATCCCCCCTCTTTCAAAAAACAATGTTATCATGAAAAAAGGTGGACAAATAATTTTAGTGAAATAGTGTAATAAAGAGTGACGAAATCCCCCTTTACTTAAAACGTTACAATTTATTTTGACCAGCATTGACGACCTACGAATTCACCAACAAAGGAAAGATAAGTTACTTAACGTCCCTGGGGCCAAAAAGTACAAAAACCACCCGCTCTGCAAATAATTGTGTACAACTACTTTTTCGGGAAATTAAAATTTGTACTTAACCACGGGTTCCCTAGCGCAACTTTTGGTGTTGGGAAAAGTAAAATTTCTCAACTTTTCAGTAAAGTAGTTGTAAATAATTATAACTTACATGTTATCCCGATCCCAATACCGAGTACGATGAGACCGAAGACCAAGAAGATGATGGCCCTGGTTCTAGCAAACTCTGGACCTATACTCGACACCTTCCTGAAGATGGAAAACATTTATATCGATATTTTGTTTTCAATGTACAATCAATAAAGACACCTTCAGCCTTGAGTGAATACGTTCATAAAATATAAGAAAAAATACAAATAAAGTGTTTGATGAGGTTTTAATTAACAATCTCCATAAATCGAGGTATGTCCCCCAATACTAAAAAGTCAAAGTTATGCATAAATAAAAATAATATATGATTTGGTGGGGGATGGTTATTTTTGTGGCGAATTGTTTAGATGAATAATGGTAGATTTATGCAAATATTAAAAACATGAGTTTTGTGTGTATAGTATCCGTAATTTCTTCAAACCAAAGTCTTAAAAAATTACAACTTAATCTAAGGAATGCAGTTAACAAACAAAACAATTTAAATGTCATGATTATTATTTTAACTCTGAGTTTCTAATAAGTATTCAGATGGTATTATTTGTGTAAAAATAAGATAACCTTGTATAATATATTAATTCTAAAAAATGCCCTTATTATTATTATTATTATTATTATTATCTATAAAAATTTATGTTCGTTTGGGCCACAGTGCTTGGCTGTGAGTGTGCACACTGCACATCCAAGAGAATGTTCAATAAAATAGAGTTTCAAACAAGAAGACTTTTTAATAAGGATGCTTTCTATTATTGCTTTATCTTCCAACATTTTCTTTTTTTATTTTATAAATGAAAAGATATCTTCTTAACAACTTTATTATACAAAGTAAGACAAAAATTGAACAGTAACAAAACAAAACAAAATTGACATTTAAGATTACTATTTTCATTTTAAGAAAACAAACCTGCAGTGTGGACACCTAGCGAGCGCGTTGTTTAACGTGTTGAACAGAAATGTGTCCAGACAGTGTGCACAGGTCACTCGACACATACCTACACAAATAATAATAACAAATGAATCGTGTTTGGATTAGTAGTCATTTACAGGGTTTCCTGACCAGTCGAGATGTATGACAAGACTTTGATCCAGTGAACTTTTTAAGGACCTTATTTTGGAATCTGATTGCATAATTTTTTTATAATAGAAAATTAATGATGTAAAAATTTGAAGATTTTCCGATTTTGACAAAAACATGATGAATAAGTTTATTAGATGCAAAATATGAATACCTAAAATTATATCTAGTACCTGGTACATTAGGAGTAGGGATGGGAACTGTAGCGCTCGGCGCCAGGTTTATTATTCGCTTGCAGTTTGGTCTAAAAATAGAACCAAGTAAATATGTAATTATTGTGTTGCCCTGTGGGATCCAAATCATCTGTAAATCCCTGTTTGGACTTCTCCGCCCGGCTGATTACTATCGTGTACTCAAGCTCTTTCGTCCCCGTTGTATTGCCCATTCAATTTTTTAGCTTATGGAGTTCAGATAAAATAACTCCAAGGAACAATTATTCCATATAGATTGTTATACAATACATGTTAATGATATTGTTAATGTTACTGTTTCTTCAGAAACATATAATTTGAATTGACTTGAATTTAATCGAATAAATAAATCATGTGAAAGTTTCAATTTTTTTTTGGAAATTATACTTTTAGAACATTATAGAACTTTTTAAAAAGATTGTCTGATAATAACAAAATGAAACGAACGGAGATCATGATAAATAATTTACAAATATACAGCCCAAGTTTGTGTCTCCCCTGTCTTACCGTGGACATGCTATCCTTTGTGAGCTGCTCTTGCAGATGAGTAAACAGTTGCAAGGACATCTTACATACTTCCGGCCGGGAGGGGCGTTCCGGATGGGTGTAGCTTCATTACATTGACTACACTTCACCACATGCTGCAATACAGTAATGTACAACAATCAACAAACTAAAGTTGAAAAGATTTCACATTAATTCCTTTCCAAACGTGACGTGGGTTGAGGATTTTGATTTGTTTGATCGGCACACCGACTGTTTAATCGATTTGATATAAGATTATTGTAAGTACTGGCCTAACACCTCATTAATTTTCACTGATTAATATTCTAATGATTAATTTAAAGAACAGGATTCGCAAACAAAATGCGGTAGTTTCCAGAAACAGGGTTCAACCCCCCNGGCTAATTATTTTATCGTAAATAAGTGTTCAATCTTAAAAAGATTGAACTCATATGAATTCTTTGACTTCTTAAATTGTATTGCATTTCCACTGAATTTCCCATGCATACAAAAATTTACAAAACTTTAAAACCCCAAATCTTGTCGGTGGTAAAGCAGTGTTATAGTATATACAGCTTATTATAAAAATATTACCTGGTCTTTCTTCCCTGAAATATCAATCATATTCTGACAAACTCGACACGCCACCATAGGTACTCCGTCTAGCAAAAATTTAATTGTATACTTTTTTTTAGATATTTATTTTCAAAAATTAAGTAATAAAAATCTTAATTTATACAGTCTATTGTGAATTTGTGATGCAGCTGAGCTGATTAATTTACCCCTCAATGTTAAATTTCGATGCTTTTAGGGGGAAAAAATTGTAAAAGGCAAATTGTTTTTTGACTTTTTGACCCGTTAACCCAAAAATTTATTTATTTCCCCCTAGGTTCTTTATTTTCCCTGGATCAGCGAATAAACCCCTTTTATTAGGTTTGCATTCTGCTCAACCATCTGGGGAACAAAATAATTTTCAAAAAGGGGGGTGGGAGGGAATTTGATTTTTAAAGAAAATATATACCCCAGATTACATGAAGTGAATACTGTACCTGTAAGGGATGGATATGGAGGGGGAAGCTCGTCAGGGCCTGCAGCAATACCACCAATACAGCCATTTGACTCACCACCTAGAAGTTTAGCGTCAACATCTTGTTTAATAACAAGTTTTTAAGAACTTCTTTGTTATTTAATTTAATTTGAATTAATTTTATTCTTCTTCCATTTTGGTGATCATGGCCAACTTTGACAACTTTGATTTAGGAATCAAGCATTGAACCTCACATTGGAAGTGCACAAATTGAATATCGAGATCAAGTGATCAAGATTAATACTATTTCCCACTATAGTACCGATCTATGGTTAAAGAGGATAGTGGAGATGTCCTATTTGATTGGAGGGGAGGGGGTTGGGTCGGTTGGTCCTGCCTGCTCACCTTATTTGTGTTCTAATTTAAAAAAATTAAATAAATGGATTAGTCCAAAATTAGTATACTAGGACGGGCCAAAGGATCTAAAATTCGGATATTAAAAAAATCTAAAATAATGTACCATATTCTGGGTTTTGAGGAGGTTGTCGTTCTTGGTTGAGGAGAGGTTGTCGTTCTACGTCCTCGCCCATTCTGATTTTCTACAATCTGAAATTAGTTTAAAATAAATATTTTTAAAACGTCATTAATAAGTCAATATATTATATACATATGATCTTGATCTGCTTTATAGTTTTACTTACAACCTATTATATAAAAACGGGGGTCTGTCCTAGAGAACGGTTTTCCCCCCCCCCCCCTCCCCCCCTACACGGCAAAACGGTGCAAAAATAAAGACTGCAATTTGAGGGATTATTTCAGAGGACCATCCTAGTAAACCGATCTTTGGACCTGCCCCCCTCCTATCAATTTGTACATAACAACTTTTTCATCAATTTTCAACAAAATTGGTATATATTTAGGGTTGGGTTAAGACAGTTTCTGTGCCGAGCGCTGCGGCAAGGAAAGGCTAGGGGGCCGAGCGCTGCGGCCACATGGTCAATTATATCCATGTCTTTGATCCAAAAATCGTTCTTTAGGAAATTACCAATTACCTATAAGTTCAGCAATCGTTTTCTATAATTAAGCAGAAATTTTGTTAATAAAACGTACACAAGTTCATGTGTAACAAATTCACATTTTGACGTTTTAAGTTTAGCTCTTGCAGTACGCTCAGTGAAATGACATTTTAAAGAAATAAAAACTGAAATTCAGAGTTAAAAAATATGACGTATCTTTAAAAAAATTGAAAATACTTGAGTCCTATGACTAAACTGTTCGATAAACAGTTGAAGACCCTACTGCTTCAGCAGTCTCGGAGAAACTTGTTCAGTAAAATCATGAAGGGGTAAACATTAGTTTACCATTAAAAAATTTATATTATAAAATATCTGTTTTGTGAAAAAATTAAATAATTACGACTAGCTGTAGTGTCTAGCTATTCTACATCATTTACAGGTTAGATGTCCTCACTTGACACAAACTACGCGCTTTCTTAGTACGCTGTTTTTGTTGAAATGGGAAAAAATGAAAATTTGTTCTGTCCTAGATTTAGTTCAAGTTTCCCCGCAAGATGTCCTTAAATGCGGAGGAGAAAGCCGAGACGTCAAACTTATGCGACCTCTATACAATGTTTCATTTTTCCAAACTATACTTACAATTTATAAATATAGGAAGCGTTTTAACTAGCTGGAAAGCCGGTTGTGTCCGCCATTACTAGGTGTGTGTGTTGTATGCATTTGGTGGCTGGAGCTCAATTGAAAGTGATGATGAGCCAAATTATGTGAATTTAAAGAATATTGGTGATTTTATAGGTAATAAAAATTCATTAAACTAATTTGAATCAATTTATTTAGGTTAGAATCGCTTTATTACTACCAAAATACTCATTAACTTTGATGTTTCAAACAGCCGAAGATTTTGATGCATTCTGTTCAGCAATTATTTTCATCGATTCCTCAACATATAAAAAATAAAATATAATCTGAAATTGTAAACGAAGAATGTTATGTTTCAAACATACTTTTATTGAAAAGCATTGACAAAAACAATATTTGTATTGGACTTCTAATACGGAACCAATAAATACATTTTTCTTATCATTGTGTGTAAATCGAAAGTAGATGATTTATACGAGGTTATAAAGTCCTATCAGCAATGTCTTCTGCTATCTAGTTTGCATTGAGTTAGGTTTGGAATATCGTTTGTATAAAATCTTTAAGATTTTTTTAAGGCTTTGGTCAAGGAAGAACAAGAATATCTCCTTTTTATAAATTTAATTTTTCCCAATATAAGTAGAAGTTAGAACTAAGGACTGATATGGATTGTTTACATTTCACTGTTTGAAGTAATCAAAGAGATTGTGAAGCTTTTTTAATTAACAGCTCCTCTTGACTTCTATCTTTACGTGTATTGTATCCATGCTGTTTAACAGCCTAATTTAAAAAATTGAAATCGAAAGTCGACTTCATTGCAGGCGCGTAACCAGGTGGGGGCAGCCCCCCCCCCCCGGTTGACTGATTAAGGGGGGCATGCCAAGGCTTGCACCCCCTTGTAAGGGGGGGGGGGCGAGAAGCCCAAGTAACAGGGGTCAAAATAGTTTTAAAAAATAGCTAATTTTCTAGAAAATTTGTACAAAATATGCCCCCACAATATTTTTTTTTTGAGCCTACACTCTTTTAAGCAAACTCAAATTCAACTATAACATTTTCAATATTAGCTAGATTTTCTTTAAAAAAATGCCCTCACATTGGGATTTTAAAATTACACTCACACATTCAATATTGAAATTGCCCCACCAGACATTAATTTGCCACTTTATTCCACATTTGTAGTCTTGGTATTTAGAATGCCACCAAATATTTTTAATTTGCTCCTAAATTATTTTTTTTATCCCCAAATGTTTTATAAATACAACCAACTTTAAAATTTACAGCCCTATCTAAATAAATGATCCTTATTATTAAGATAGTGCTAAAAAAAGTTTTTCCCTTACAAAAATAAACATTTAAAATAAAGGGGCATGTTAAAAAAATTGACCACTTAATAAAGATTTAAGATTTCCCATACACAAAATTGACCAATCTGAAAAAAGCCCCCCAAAACTTTAATTTGCCCCAAGATTTCCCCCAACTAAAAGAATTACCCCAAAAAAATTAAATTTGCCTCTGAAATTTATTTTATTTTTTTCACACAAATTTGCCCCAAACTGAATGAATGCCCCCAAATATAAAAGTTTTCCCCAAAATATCCTTTATGGTTAAGTGTAATACACATTTCATCCCCCCCCCCTTGCTGAATGACTAGTTGCGCGCCTGCAGTTCATTGTATTGATTTAATCGCCTACAAATGTATGCAAATACAAAATTTTCATCTTTAAATCGGATATTATCTTCTTAAAATTATCCTTGCCAGAGTTTGTTACTTGTATATTCTATCTCCTAAATGTAGAATTTATGTTTTTATGGATATCAGTTCAGTTTGTGGGCTTAGTCCACACATTGCACATGTGATAAGAAAATTAAAGCATGTGCAAAGAAACAAGATTTTACAGTCTGTTTCTTCAAGAAACTCCAGATTATTGTATGTGACAAATCAAGAATTCAATATCATTTTAAGGCAATTTTAATCATTTAAAAATATTTTTTTTTTAACAGAAAGGAAGATTAAAAGCTATTATTTAGTTAGGAAAGGATTCAATTATTTTAAAGTAAAATTCAAAGAGAGTAGGTTAATGACCCCAAATATCCCTAACAAAAGATTAGGGGCGTTCAGGGGTATACATTTAAAGAAATTTCCCCCTTCTTTAATAGTCTGAGGGCAAAAAATTAAAAATGAGCACCAAAGGGAAGTCATATCTTACAATTTTAATACTTGACCAAAAATGTTTTGTTTCTTCATCTTGAATTCAGTTATTTTATCAAATTCAGCGAATGTAACCCTAAAATGAAAATTTTAGCTTCGCACAGACAGACCTAACAGGGAAAATGGTTTTTAAAAGGGGTAAGGGGGTGATTTTTTCAAGAAAATATAGCCCTGTAACCTTTTTTTTTATCAGAATGGGCTATGAATATGATTTGCACCTCCATGTTGTCCTTTTTTAAGGACCTTAAATTCATTCAGATCCCCCTCCCCCAGTATTTTTATTATTATAAATCTTGTGAATCAGTACATTTATCATAAATCTACCTTGTATGGTTTATAGAAATAAAGTTACTTTTATCCTTCAAGTAAAATGCACACTCACAACAAGTTTGGACTGGACATAAAATAATTCCGGTAAAACGACAATTAAGCGCCTTAGGAAATTAAGGCTTGATGTTTGAATTTTAAAACTTGTAAATTTTTGTTAAACAAACAGTAAATAATGTTTTAAATCATCTTGAAAAAGTTCAAGTGTGTTTTCTGGTTATATTTGGTTATACAGTGTTTACCAAATATTCTTTTATTCAATACCTTTACTTTTGTTTTCTGTTTTTGCCCTTTTTATGGCTGGAAGGGAGGGGGGGTTGTAGTTACAATAAACCCTTTTAACAATGTTTATTCCCCAGTTTCCAATTTTCTTTTACGACGTTTTGTGCTGAGGGTTCAGCAGGCTTTCATTCGACTTAAACTTTTTATGAAAAATATGGAAATATATATTTACATGTTCAGTACAACATTTTTCAATTTAAAAACGTGTTAATCTAAAATTAATTGTTAAATGTAGATTAACATCTTATTAAGCATAGTTAATATAAGGGTTTAATTTATATATTTATGTAACGGTAGATCCTCTGTATAAAGTTCTTCTGTTAATGGTTGAATGATTTTGATTTCCTTCTTATCTTTTTTATTTCCAGTTTTTTTTTTATATTAGTAAACTACTCATCCGCTTCCTCTTCACATTTTCCTCTTCTTTCCAATTGTGGTATTGTGAGGCCAAAAAACTACTTGTTTTATAATCACAGTTTATCATTTTTACGTCATTAAGATTACGATTTTGTGACCTCGTAGCTCTTCTGTAATATTTTAATTCTAAATTAAATAGATTTTAATATTATGGGAAATTTACTTTAGCTTGACTACTGAATTACGAAAAGACGAAAGGAGATACAATACATACAAGCATTGCTTAGGATCCGGATCCGTTGGATCCTTGATCCTGGATCCGGATCCGTTGGATCCTTGATCCTGGATCCGGATCCGTTGGATCCTGGATCCGGATCAGCAACAATATGCGAATCCAGATCCAAGGTGTAAAAATATCTACCAAAACTAAAAACAAGATCATCAAAAATTTCCTTCTGGAATCATCAAGTTTTTGCATAAAAATAATGGATGAAAATCAAGAACAGTAATTTGAAAATTCTTCTTCTAGCTTTAAAAAATAGGTAAATCAAAAAGAAATGTCATGCCCCGGATCTGGATCCGAATCAAAATTAAATGGATTGTAAGCAAGAAGTATGAGTCATGCTGAATACTACATTCTAGCTGAATACAGTATATAGATTCGATGCACATATAGCTTAGTTCAATCTGTAAACGTGTCTGCTTGTTTGTGTGTCAGTTTTCTTTCTTTTTGAATAAGATTTTCTCTCTGATTTTTTGCAGTTTATTTATCTGCTATTTTGAGAATCTGTTCAATTTTTCTGTATTCTTTGTGTAAAAGGGTCCGTATTAAGACCGTCTGCGAGTGTAATCGTATGCTAGCTTGTATCTGCTTAGTCTGCTAATGTAATCGTCTGCAAGCTTGAATCTGCTTAGTCTGCTAATGTAATCGTCGCAAGCATGTATCTGCTTAGTCTGCTAGTGTAATCGTCTGCAAGCTTTATCTGCTAAGTCTGCTAATGTAATCGTCAGCAAGCATGTATCTGCTTAGTCTGCTATTGTAATCGTCTGCAAGCATGTATCTGCTTAGTCTGCTAATGAAATCGTCTGCAATCTTGTCTACCTACATACCTTTGATTAACTCCTATTTGGTCTTATAAGAAATACGTCACTGAACCCTCTTCCTGTTATGCTAGATTGGTGGGCGGGGGCGTTGTTTCCAAAGAGGGGTTTTCTCCCCCCCCCCCCATACCCTTCCTGTTAATTGACCTGACAGTTGAACAAAGTCTAGTTTAAAAGCTAGGTTTACAACTAGTAAAGTTGAATGCAAGGCGGGGATTATAACTGGGGGATTTCAAACTTTAGAAAATAGCACAGCTTGTTTTGGAAACTTTGAAACTTTGCTAAGTTTAACTTGGAACATGTCTCCTTCTTTTAACACTAATAAATAACGACAAACTGCTTCACAACTGCATATTCACGGAGACTTATATAATTGTTGAATATGGAGATGACATTTAACAAATAATTTGTGTCTTTGATGTTTTACTACTCGTAGCCTAAAAATCAATTTATCAAGCTAAACGGGCCTGTGTACACTGCAGTGTTGTATTTTTATGTTAGACAATTAAAAGTCAAAACTGAAGTAAAATAGTTGACATTTTATGGGTCCCATTGTATCATAAATATAAAATATATTGATAAATAATCAATGTCTTGCATTAATGATTCCAAATTAATAATGATAAGAAAAATGTATGCAGTCCCGAATAAGAACATAGATGAACATGTCTCAAAGATACATAAACGGGTGGATGTTAATATATTATTTGAAGCAAGCGACCATAGAATATAATTATTATTCTTATTTCAACCCATCTTTACGTATCTAAAAGAATATTGTTAGATATATTGTGCTAGGGTTTTAAATTGTGAACATGTTCTTTTTGTTTACATTTAAAAACAAAAACGAAGAAAATTTTGCGGATTTTTAAAAAAAATTCGCGGATTTTCAAGAATTTAAATTTTTTTACAAAATTAAAAACCTTTAAAACACATTTTTTTTTTAAATTTTTATCAATCACAAACCTTCCCTGGGATAACGCGAGGTGCCACAAAAAATTTGGGCCCTATCGGTTCAGCCGTTTTGACGTTTATTGGATACAAACAGACAAGTCAAATTTATATATAGATGGAGTTTAGATCACATATCAGTTATTTATGTTGTTAGTATTATAATAAATTGTTTATTTTCAGTGTTGATGATCAAATGTGAATAAACTTCGTAACCTAAATAATACAGAACAGAAAATACAAGTAAGTTTTTTTTCTCGCTTATTTTTAAAGAAAATGGTTCAAAAACATTTCAAAAATTAAATAAACATTCGGTTGTAAACCTCTGTCCTGTTTTTTAAGTGATCTTTGTCCCAACATGTTTATTTACACAATCTTGAATATTTGAAATATTTACATTATTTTCTCTTTAAAACTTCGTGCAATAAAAAACATGTCAATTCATATAAACATGGACACCCTCCAGTCTCGTTTTAGTCTAATAATATCGTTTTTACTAGATCATATGATTGTATATATCTAAGAAAGTATGCCAGCGCTCCTATTCCTCACCCCATCCCTTCTCGCGTCAAGGTTAATGCCTTTGCCGCACCATCTTTCCCCGAGGGGTTGTGCCAGCTTTATAAGTAATTTCTTAGTAAACGTTTATTTCTTATACATTAATATCAATCTTTCTGAACCATTAACAAGAAACTGGATACAGTAAACTTTCTAAATTGTTCCGAAAAAAAAAATACTTTTGTTGTGAATGAAAGTTGTAATATTTTATATTACATCATGCAAACAAATCATTAACTAAAAAACAAAACACCCCCCGCCCCCACCCTTTCTCAAAATACAAAAAAACATAATTTTCTATTATATCTCTAAAATATTTTTTACGTCCATAATAACCCGTTGAATTGTTAAAGGGGCTGTTGAAACTATTTTAAGTGACTCTCTAATTAAAGAGTGTTGTGTCAGATTCAGAACAGTACCGTAAACATAATAACTAAAGTGAACTGAGGATAAAACAGGATAATATTGTCATCCTTGATCAGTCCTAAGGTTGAAAGGGTACCGTTGTGAGTCGGAAATATCCCTTGACAATGAAATTAATATTACCGTATCAAAATTATTTTTTATACTTTTTTAACCATAACAGTTTCCGTATTCTTCTATTAAAATTTTGGTCTTGCTTAGTACTTGAAATAGCTTTACAATTAGTCCGATTGATTCTATCAGCTCAGACTAATCCATTTCATAAACTATCTATTTCAAGCACCATTTTGAATATGGTAGAACAATAATACAGGAAAAAGAAAAAATGTCGAAATGAACTAAAATAAGGTGATAGCAAGGGAGGTTAGAGTGGTTTTAAAAAGTTGGGTCCAAGTAAAAAAAGAAAGAAAAGACCTCCCCTCTTTCAATACTTTCCACTAACTGATTTTTCAAAACTCGATTGGGAGATTTGTAAGAACCAGAAAAACTTGGAGGATTACAGACGCATTGTTTATATTATTGTCAACTATTCTAAATAATTATAATCCGATAAACGAGGAAGGTTACTTTAAATACTGTCTCCACAGCCACTTTAAGAAATATCAGTTGTACTTGTCAACTCAATTCTGTCAGAATATAAAAATAATTAAATGTCAAAGTTCAACAGTGATACATAATTATGGATGAATGATGTGTATACATTACATATGAAGGACAAATAAGACACTTAATTCTCTGACTAACCCCTATTCACCCCTGTGTGCATTTATAAGGAAAAGGGGGGGAAGCTCTCTTGTTTGCTTTCTATTGGAATGTTATTATCCTAGCTTAAGGCCAAATATTTTGGCCTGTCTATCGTGTTGCAATCGTCTGTCGTTAAAATGAATAGTCTGTATGACATTCATGCATTTGTCCTTCTAATTACTGTCCAACTGACATTGTCTATCACAGGCGTTGTCTGTCGTACAATGTCTTATCAATTTAATTACTATTTTTTTCTAAAATAGACATTGTTTTATTTTACATTGAAAAGTTGCTATACAGCTTTCACAAAGTTTATTCATATATTTGATGTTTAAAAATAAATGTAACCCCAGTTGGCAAGTTTCCAAGTAAACAAGTTGTAGATTTACACCTTTCTGTAATCCTTTTCATTTTATTATATTTAAACAAACATAGGTTTAGTTTAACTTTTATTTTATCTGAAATAAAGTATTATATTTTAATATTTAGTCTTTTACATCAACAAAATATTCATGGACCTTTAAATCATTATTATTATTCGAACCGGTGCTGAAAATCGTTCTTCTTATTTTTGATATTTTAATTCATTCATATATTTATTTATTTTTAGGTTTTGAAATCGTTAAATCATGACAGAACAGAAAGTTAATGGGGTCAATGGGACCTGCTCAGATGATGAGGTATTTTTTCATTTAGTTATTTAGTCATTTAGTCACTTGTTCACTTGTTCACTTGTTCACTTGTTCACTTGTTCACTTGTTCACTTGTTCACTTTTTCACTTTTTCACTTTTTCACTTTTTCACTTTTTCACTTTTTTACTTTTTTACTTATTCACGTGCTCATATTTAATCATTGATCAATTATATGTTTTGTTGTTAATTCATAAAATTATTTATTCAAACAGTCAATTACTCAACTACTTAAGAACCTTTATTTTTTTTTTTTTTTTAAATATATTTAAATCTTCTTTTGTTGAATTCGTTTTTAAAACGTTAAATATACATTATAGCCTTGAATCTTGAATATGATGTATTTTATATGTTATCAATTGAAAAGTATGACTCACTATGCTTGTGTTTTGAAATTAATTATGACACCAAATGTCCTGATAAGGAAAATTTGAAGCAAACATTGTTAACTTTTTTTACATTGTAATTCAAATAAGTAAATAAGTAACTGTATTAATTCTTTTGCTGCATATCTACAATTTCTGGCAACTGTGACAAATAAATTTAAAAATTGGATACAAAATATTTAATTTTGTATTTAAGTTTGCTCCAATTTCTTGGGTTCTTCATTTTCTATTTTCTGAAGGAATATCGACAGTAAAATTGTATTCACTTGCTAGAGGAGAAATATAAACACAGACTAATTAACAATATAAACAAACCTTCTTACAAAATGTTTTTTATATAATTCTATTTCTTCATGATTCCCGATTTAATTTATTTTTTTAATATTTATCCTTATTGTGACTTCTCATTATTATCCTTTTAAACTCGACAATTTTCTTCAAATTTAACAGTTCATTTATTCTCAACAAAGGAATTGATTTTTACCTTAAACTCTAATTTTCTTATCCCTATATCTTTGAAATCCGGCCATTGTCGTAGACCTTAGTTATTTCAAACTATAAATATTTTAAGTTTGAAATTTCAAAGGGTTACACCTTCAAGTCGCAAAGATATAGGCATCAGAGTTGTTGGCTTCTTTGGTTTCTTTAAAAAATCATTTATTATTTCCTTCTTTCTATAGAGCTTTGTTTATCTTAAGTTTTCAATTTTTAAGATTAGAATTGTTCTGTAAAATATATTCTCTGGTCTTCTAAACCTGTTACTCTGCTAGGAGGAGAAGTCCCAGAGGCCGGTAGATATAGAGGCTGATGTTCGGGAGATGGAGAGAAGGAAGAGGGTGGAGGCCATCATGCACAGCAAGGTCAGTTGATAACTCGAGTAGAATATGGAGGGAATTTATTTTATTAATAGAAACATGACATTGAGGGGACAAAAATATTGTTTAAATGCTTTCAAATGTTTGGTGCAGAACCCTCGTAGATAAAGCTAATAGATTTCGATTTCGATTTCGATTTCGATTTCGATTTCGATTTCGATTTCGATTTCGATTTCGATTTCGATTTCGATTTCGATTTCGATTTCACTGTCGATGTCGATGTCGATGTCGATGTCGATGTCGATGTCGATGTCGATGTCGATTTACTCATATTACTGTATGATCATTGTTCAATTTGTTTGCAGATGTTCCGTGAGGAGCTGGAGCGTGTGGTTGGAGACAGCCTGAGAGAAGGTGGAGCTGACGGTATCTCCGCTCTTCTTAGCGATGTCATGAATATTAAATCTGGAAGTAAGTTTTTTTATTTTCATATATTCGTGCTATATATTTTCTTTAAAATTATTTTTCTTTTTTATCGTTTATGTGAACTGTTTTGGAAAATTTTATTTTTTCTCTCTGATTTGGGGGGAAACTGATGTTTTAGGGTAAAAAGTAAAAAAAAAAAAAAAAGAGGGGGGGTTCTTGTTATTTTTTTTTTAAATCATCATAACTAATATTTTGATGCGTCGACTGAGTATTAGCTAAACAAAGACCAGATGTTGATGCAGAATATATACATAATGCATATAAACATGGGAACCCATATCATTCCATTAATTGTTATTGTTTCTATAATGGAGAATTCCATGTTTTGGTCATAAAAATTTAAAAAGAGAAGAAAAAATCACATTACTTAACTATTAACTTCATAAGCCCCTTCCACACTCCCCCCTACACCACTGAGGGGTTTAAAGGCAATCAGTATGATGATTAGTGCTTATCTAGAATTAGCAAGTTTCTTAAATTTTTCTTAAATTCATTTGACAGAATTAGTTGGATTGATTTAAATTTTAAGATCAAGATTAAGGATATTACTTTCCCACACGTTGATTTTGAAAATTTATTATTAAACAGTTTAAAAACTAGAAATTTTAAAGTTTTCCTGAATAATTTATGCTAAAATCTATTTTTAATCTCCCCTACAGGATATTATACTGTCTGGAACTAATTCTAGGAATTCAATCAAATATTTTATCCATAATGTATAAACAAAATAATTGTAAAAAATAATCTTTTGTGACACCTTGTTNTAATGTAAATTGTATAAATAAATGTAGCATAACAGGGTTGTAAAATTATAATGTAAATTGTATAAATAAATGTAGCATAACAGGGTTGTAAAATTTCTTGAAAAATCATTGTTTCTTTCCGAAGTGAAGCGCAGCATTATTTTTTTAGGGATTTTTTCGCGTAATGGGGGAAAATAAATGAATTTTAGGGGAAAATAAATGTTTTTTTTTCCTAAATCATCAAAAATCTTATTATTTTTTTTTGAGGAATATTATACACCCCTGAAATGTGATGGGAGTCCCAGAAACCATGAGAACCTTAAGACCATATTTAACCTTGTCTAGTTTTAAGTGCAAAAAATGGGATCATATTTTGCATGTTTTGGACTCTCTGTATGTTGTAATTATTTTCAATCTGTAATCCTTTCACAACAGGAAACCATATAAAGCAGGTTTTGTCAGAATTGTTTTATTGTTATCTGAATAATCAAATATACCTACATCACCCCCCTCTCCACACACACACACACACACACTTCCTGTGGCAATGGGACAGTTTTTTTTTTTTTAAATAAATCTAGTAAGCATATTAAAATAATTTGATCGTCTGAAATTAATTGATTTAACGGACTGTAGACGTAATTTCAAGTGACCCTCTATAATTAAAGTGGCTTCTCTGATTTATTACGGTAAACCCTGTAAGACTATGTCTGATCAAGAAAAAACTCATTTTTAACTTTAAAAAATCCTATTTTTATTTTTGGTTTCTCATTCAAAATGACTGCTAATGTTTATTTTTGGTTTGGCTGCTACAAAATCAATAAAGGAATTTGTCAGAATTCTACACTAGTCAAACGACTATAATTTCCACAGCGTTGCTCAAACGAATTAAAGGATACCATTGTGACTAGGGTATAAGCCCCTCGATAAATAATGGGTCATTTGAAATTACAACGACAGTTCATTTAATCAGCCGATCGTTCCTAAAACTAATTAATTTTACTTTATTTTATTCTCTTTTTAGGTCCGAGCGCGGTAATACCAATAAATGATATTAGAGGTCTTGACTCTCTTGTTTACGCTAAAGGGGAGAAACAGCTCAGGTATTTTTTTAAAGGGAGAATTCGATTTTAGTAATCAGATTTTTCTAAAAAATGTATCTGTATCTTTGCAACCTGATGTTGTAAATCTTTGTCAATTAATATTTTTACTATTTGATGCAACAGAATTTTGAATTACAAGAATTAGGAAATTACTAAGAGTATGACGAGAGTAATAAGGTCCTTTAACTATTAATATATTAATATATTCTTAACAAATTGATCAATAAAATTATAATATTATGAAGGTGTAAGCTGGCAGCTGTTTACAGATTAATAGATTTACATGGCTGGACTCAAGGAATATATAATCATGTCACGGTAAGATACATATTTATGTTTGAGCTTTCAACAGGTTTTTTTTTCCAATTTTTATAATAAAAAAAGATCGAATTTATAAAATAGAATTAGTGGTGTCCAAACCATCTCTTTAGAGGGAGTGTTCGTAAAAATTAATGAACTAAATTATCAACTGATATTTTTATTTCTGTATGTATGAGAATTTTATTATACTAGACTTTTAGGGCGCTTCGCGCCCATCTTCTATTTAAATTGTGAACATGTCCTTTTTGTTTACATTTTAAAACAAAGAAGAAGAAAAATTTGCGGATTTTTAAATAAAAATTCGCGGATTTTCAAGAATTTAATTTTTTTTACAAATTGAATTAAAAACCTTTAAAACACATTTTTAAAATTTTTATCATTCATAAACCTTCCCTGTGGTCATGTGATGTCCCACAAAAAATTTGGGCCCGATCGGTTCAGCCGTTTTGACGTTTATTGGATACAAACAGTCAAGCAAAATTTATATTTAGATAAATGCCCATGAGAAAGCACGTTTCCAGTCACATCAGATACAATTTAATCATAGTTCATCCCATGTCAATTTCATTTTTGTGTACATTCCGTTAAATGAAGATTAGCAAATATTCTTGTTCAGTTACAAATCAGTTTTCACGCTCGTGATCATGCACTAGTTTAGTTCGCTGGTGGTGTTTGGTTTGCATTTTGGCAAGGATTTGCACAACTTTATTTTAGAAAACATATTTGCACATTCGACTTTTTTTTACAAATTCCAAGCTTATTTGAATATAACGTTGAATATTTGACGATCAAGGAATAGTCGGCATTATAAAAATGTCAAGGTTTTAATCATATGTGTTTAAAATTGCTTAACAAATAAGTTTGTTTAGATGAAATTGAACCAGGTTTCTATGTTACTTGTGAAATCTTATTGCGACTCATCTAAATGCAAATGAAAAGTTCTGTCCGATCAATCTTTTGTTTTGTCATGTTTGCGTTCAAGAGATTCAATCTAGTAGCACACTAGCACATGATTTACAAGAATAAAGGGGGGAGGGAATAGGGAAAGGTCCTGTGAATAAGGGTTGGTGGATGTTATATTGCATTTTTAGAACCCTACCTACCCCTCTCCGAAAAAAAAATACATTCTTAAAGTGAAAAAAATATGTAAAATTTTTATTTATTTGTTTAGGCACGCATCAGTCAAGACACTGAACACTTTCTGTTAAATCCGTTCGGAGTTCTCTACAACGAGGTCACGGCCTCCAGCCTCGTTAAAGTCAATATGCAGGTAAACCAAAGGATTCAAGGATTCATGATAGTAAACCAAAGATTTTATAATCAAGGATTCATAGTTTTAAGCCAAGGACTTTATATTCAAGGATTCATAATTGTAAGCCAAAAATATATTCAAGGTTTCACAATTGTAAACCAAGGTTTTATATCAAGGATTCGTAATTGTTAACCAAGGATTCATAATTTTAAATCAATAGGATTTAATATTCAAAACAAACATGTTAGGGAAAGAAAATTACCATATTACTTTAAACCAAGGATTTTATATTCAAGAATCCTTATTGTAAAACATAAATACTTAGAGAAAGTAAGTTACCATATTGTTGTACAAAATAAAATGCAACTTTTACATAATGCATAATGCTCTATACTGAAAATGAGTCAATATTAAAGCTTATCGGTTGGTTACATTACTATTTATTAAATTCTACGAATTTATTATTTTATTTTTTATTTTAAGGGAGAAACCGTTGAAGAGGGAACTACAAACTTTGGCGTGAACAAGGCGGGCTTCGTCCTTCATTCGGCGATTCATGCCGCTAGACCGGACATTAAGTGTATTATTCACCTACACACTCCAAACATTGTCGCGGTAAGGAACTTAAATATGTTTTATACTTATGCTTTATTGTTAACATTATAAAATTTAAATTTTCAAATGCTTAATTTATTCTTAAATATAAAATTTGGTATCAAAATTTTATATTCCAATAAATATATCATTTTTGTCATTGTTATGTTTTTTAATTGCTAAAATCCTTCATAAATGTTGCTTGTAACTTGATTTTTTTTTTGCTAGTGCTAGAAGATTTTACATTTTCGATGAAATTGTTAGTTGTTGATGTTGTCGTTGTTGATGTTGATGTTGATGTTGATGTTGATGTTGATGTTGATGTTGATGCTGATGTTGATGTTGATGCTGATGCTGATGCTGATGCTGATGCTGATGCTAATGCTGATGCTGATGCTGATGCTGATGCTGATGCTGATGCTGATGCTGATGCTGATGCTGATGCTGATGCTGATGCTGATGCTGATTGTTATTATTATTGTTATTATGTAGGTTTCCACTATGAAGTGTGGACTGATGCCCCTGTGTCAGGAGGCATGTTTGATTGGAGATGTTTCCTACCATTCATACAGGTTATTTAAAATAAGATAACCTCTATTTTATTGCTAAAAATAGATATAACAATTATAATATTACTGTCCAAAAAAATGTACAACTATTTATTATTAAAACTATACTTTTTTAAATGAATAAATAAATTAAACAGTCACCCATCAGTTCGAAGAGACACAAAAAAGAAATATGCGTATTTTAAACTAAACTTATTTTTTAATAACACTTCAAATAAAAAAATAGGTCACAGTGTTTCGTCATAAATCGACGAGCTAGGAAAAAATGTCAATAATCCCATTAAAAAAAAAAGAATCTGTTCTACCTTTGTTGCTCCACTAAACACACAGATATACAGTTTCATTAACTGCTAAAAGAATTTAAAGAAAAACGCTATCCGTGATTTAAACCAAAAACTAAATGCATAGATTTTAAAAATAAATATTTTTTTTTATTTCAGAGGTTTGGTGGTGGACGAGGAGGAAAAGATTTCTCTTGCTAAAGATCTCGGGCCTAATAACAAGGTCAGTCAAGAACTCATTTAAAGGGATTAAATGCAAAAAAAAATTTATGACGGATACAATCTTCGATTTTTTTACTTTTATCAGTTGTATTACTAGAAATAACTGAAAAGTAGTAAATTCCCAAAACTAAAATTTTTAATACAAAAATATTTAGAATTAACTTCATGAGAGATGGAATTTGGAATAGAAACATGTGAAACCAGTATGATTTCTTCTATCTTGACTTACCGTTAATAACGCTAAATTACAATTTGATTTTACTTAGAAAATTTCTTCATCTAGTTATTTTAAATTATAGAAATAAACAATTTCTTTTATCTTTACTTGCCCTAAACATCTGTGATTAAAACATAAATAGTGTTTATATTTTAGGTTATGTTCCTGCGTAACCATGGTGTTGTATGCTGTGGGCGGACTATTGAGGAGGCGTGGTTGATTACTTACCACACTGTACTAGCTGTAGATACACAGTTGAAGATGATGCCCTACGGGATGGATAATCTGGTCCTGATAGGTCAGTAAGCTTGGGATAGGGGAGACAATTATAAGGATGACGATTCGGATTAGGTTTAGGAATAACTAAATAATCAAGTATATTTCATTTAGATGAGGATACACGAGCCCGTGTATATGAACAGGGTATGCGAGGTGGAGGTGGTGTCAACATATCCAAGAAGGACTGGGGGGTCGGGGAGCTCGAATTCGAGGCTCTGATGAGGATGCTCGATAATTCAGTAAGAACACTTGAACAACAAAACAAAAACCAATTTTAAAAAAAATAGGTAGCCTTAAACATTACGTTTAATGATTGTTTATTTTACAGGGTTTCCGTTCTGGATATGTTTACATTGAACCCCTGGTTAAAAAGGAACCAGCACGTCAGGTAAAGTTATTTATATTTTAAACATTAAAACCAGTGCTTCAGATCCGGAACCGTTTGATCCGAAAAAATATGCGGATCCACGGATCTGGATCCAAGGGGCAAAATATCAACCAAAAACTGTAAAACTGAAAAAAAAGAGAAAAATTCCTGATATTTTAAAGGTTTATGAAGTTTTAAAATAAAAATAAGCGAAAAAAAGAAGAAAAATACTTTGTCAATTCTGCTTTGTTAAAAAAATCATAAAACTTAAAGAAATATGCATGACAGTAGAGACAGAGGAAACAGTAAATTACCATAAAAAAGAAATAAATTACCTAAAATAGGTATTTTTTCCAATAGCTATTTTGATAAATAATAATTGATTATTTAGATAAGTGATGTTGAGTTACCTCCCACTGTTTCCAATCTTGGATATCTGCTAGAGGAAGAGGAACTCTACAAGGATGGTCCTCTTCAGGTATTCATCATTTCTCATGATAGACTGAAAACTGCAGAAGCATATATTTTAAATCACCCATCCTCCTCCATCCATCTACCTCTTTAAACTTATCAGCAGTAACCTGATGAAGCGTAAATACTATTCGTCAAAATCCGTCATTTATCTAACTTGAAGTAAAATTCTTTAATACCACAACTGTCTTTTTGCTTAGTTAAAGTTTAAACTATGCGCTCGAAAAACTATTATTTGTACTTGTCTGTCGTTTAATGCATTAATTTCATGTTTCAACCGCACTGATAATTTTTTTAAATTTTTTTTTCTATTGCTATATTTTCTTTTATTTCGTATTATTTAATGATTAAAATCTTTTAATCATAAACAAATTATTATACTAAAAAACTGAATGAAACTTTTCAAACAATACATAAAGTATTTAATTTTTTGTTTCAGAGCTTACTTGCGCAGATGGCGCGTGCCAGCAGAAGCAGTAACAAAACCAAATGGGTCAACTCGCCTAATGTCTACCAAAAGGTGAAGATTTTAATTTATTTCTAAATAACTGATTTTCTTCTCTTTGATTTGATTCACAAACATTTTTTATTTTAAAATAAACATTGACTTAAAACGTTGAAAAGAAAACTTAAATAAACCTATTATTTTCAAGTATTTATATGACCTTAAAAATATTCCAAAATTAATTTTATAGGCTATTAGATTTACATTTTACCTGCATAGGCAGGCACCATAACCAGAGAACCATGAGTACTGCCGAATTTGTATTTAATGGTTTTATTATTTAATATTTCTAGGTTGAAGTCCTAGAAACTGGAACTACTGATCCAAAGAAGATCACCAAGGTAACTCGTATTCAGTTCGATGACCCTGGACCATCCCAGTAAATGGGAGTGGACCAGTCTACAGCTCTGCAGTACATCACGTGGTCAAACCATTGGTCCCGTAGAAAAGTGCTAAGGCCATGTACGAATAAAGTGCACAAGAAAGTTTACTAGAAAGTAAATTTAAGTTCATGGCCACTTTATTTTACGGCTCACTTACAAATATTCATGAGCCTTAAATTTAGTCTTTAATTTAAAAAAAAATATTTTTAAAAGTTTTGAACTAGTACAAGGCCAAACTAATGAAGCAGCTAAACTTCTTTTAAAAAAGAAGTTTTTCTCATTGTAAAATTCGAGTAGCTTGAAATTTATGAACTTATATACTCCTCAATCACAACAAAGGGTCTCAAATAATTTAGCTGAATGTTGATGAGCTGGTTATTTGTCAATTTCTTGCTCATTTGCACATTGTTTTTGGTTTTTTTTTTCAGTACGTTTATCATTTGACCTATTACGTTATTAATATTGTAGAGATTGCAGTTTTATATTATTTTTCTTACTTTAAGTGCAATTATATTATGATATGGTCGCTTATATTGTAGTTATGTGCTTCCCACCGCATCTAAAGCTTCTTGTTTATGAATAATTTTAATGTTATGAATTCTATCCCATGTTGTTGAAGAAACGAGTTTTGCTTTAGTAAATTTTTCAGGGACGATTGTTCAAAATCCCTTTCAATATTTACCGAGGGGCCATTTTGAAAAGTTTTTTGCCAACCGTTTTAGCTCGATTTGATACCTGGAAAGTTTAAATATACAGATTCCAAATGGCCTCTCTTTTTTAATGTTTTCTCTCCTGAATAATATATATTTACTCCACGAGCTTCATGTCTGTGTATTTTTCTAAAAATAAATCTGTAAAAAACCAATAATTTTATTTGCGGGCCGATAAAGAAGGGGTGGGGGAGGGAAGTAACAAGACAATCATTATAGGGGGTTGCTTAGCATGTTTTTTATCAACAAAAATAACAGTAAAACATTAAACACCCTGTGTTGATTGTCTAAAGGCCCGCAAATAAAAATAAATATCCCCCGACAAAATAATGATTGTCTTGTTTCAGTGGGTTTCTGACGGAAGTCCTTCACACAACAATGCCATCAAGATTGAGAAACCAAACCAGTTCGTTCCACTCAACACAAACCCCAGGGAGTTCAAGAAGGTTCAGAAAATGGTGAGTTGAGAATGCATTGAGTCAGGAACAGATATTATTAGGAATACATTGAGTCAGGAACAGATATTAAGTAAATTGAGTTAGGAATACATTAAGCAAAGGAACAGAAATTGTTAGGAATACATTGAGACAGCAACAGATATTATTAGAAATACAGCAAAGGAACAGAAATTGTTAGGAATACATTGAGTCAGAAACAGATAGAGTAAATTGAGTTAGGAATACATTAAGCAAAGGAACAGAAATTGTTGGGAATACATTGAGTCAGGAACAAATATTATTAGGAATACATTGAGTCAGGAACAGTTATTAATATATTAATAGGAACTAGCCTGCAGAACCCAGCGTGGCACGGGGGAGGGGGGGAGGGGGTCAAAGTCCCAATGATTACCCGCGCTTTGTCGTAAATTACGATTTAAACTATTTTTCCTTATAAAAGTCGATCCACTCCACTTAGAATCTAAAAACCAAGCTAAGAACATTTCCGTGAGTCTTCAGAGTTCCCCAATCAAAATTTGAGGAAAATCGGTCTAGGGGTAAATGAGTTAGGATCGGCGGACAATTGAAAAGAGAACTAAGGAACAGAAATTATTAGGAATACATTGAGTCAGGAACAGATATTGTTAGGAATACATTGAGACAGGAACAGATATTATTAGAAATACATTGAGACAGGAACAGATATTGTTAGGAATACATTGAGTCATTTAAATACATAGATGAAGGAGGGAAAGAGAATCGGAGGTGTACACATGTTAAATGTATATATGAAGGAGTGAAGGAGATTCGGAGGAGTACACACGTTAAATTTATAGATAAGGAGGGAAGGAGATTCGGAGGAGTATACACGTTAAATATATAGATAAGGTGGGAAGGAGAATCGGAGGTGTACACATGTTAAATATATAGATGAAGGAGGAAAGGAGAATCGGAGGTGTAGTAGTGTACACATGTTAAATATAAAGATAAAGGAGAATCGGAGGTGTAATAGTGTACACATGTTAAATATAGAGATAAAGGAGAATCGGAGGTGTAGTAGTGTACACATGTTAAATATATAGATAAAAGAGGGAAGGAGAATCGGAGGTGTACCCATGTTATATGTATGGATGAAGGAGGAAAGGAGAATCGGAGGTGTACACATGTTAAATATATAGTTGGAGGAGAATCGGAGGAGTACGCATGTTAAATATATAGTTGAAAAAGGGAAGGAGAACCGGAGTTGTACACATGCTAAATATATAGATGAGAGAGGGAAAGATAATCGGAGGTGTACACATGCTAAATGTGAAGATGAAGGAGGGAAGAAGAATCGGAGGTGCACACTGCACAGTGTACACATTTTAGATATATTGATGTAGGAGGGAAGGAGAATCGGAGGTGTACACATGATAAATATATAGATGAAGGAGGGAAGGAGAATCGGAGGTGTACACATGAGAAATATATAGATGAAGGAGGGAAAGAGAATCGGAGGTGTAAACATGTTAAATATATAGNTAAATATATAGATGAAGGAGGGAAGGAGAATCGGAGGTGTACACGCTGGTCCTGAGAGCCGAGTATTGGAAGGTGTAAGCTGGGATGAAGCAAGGCAGATGCAGGATGCTCAGCCATCAAATCTAGGAAAATAAATCATGACTTTAAATGAAAAATGGCTTTCTTCGTAAAAAAAATGTGTTGTGCAATGTGGCTCTTATCAATATTTCTAAAGAATGCGCGGATGTAAAATGACGGAAAACATTTTATGTGAGTATGGACCAAACTACTATCCAAAACACAAAAAGGCGAAGAAAATAAATAATTAAAAAAAATTCGATTGAAAACAGGCAGCATTTAAATGGAAAGACCGTGAACTCAAGCTCAACTTCAAATATATCATATAATTGATTGATTTGACGCCAGGAGATAATCATTACGAGATGAAGGTTGGAGCCGCCAGTAAAGGAATTATTCAAAGAGATTTCCAGCATCACGCTACAGTCTACAAATCGCCGTATGCTAAGGTATTTGATTAAAGAATTGGGCTCCATCTACCAGTAATATTTTAGTTTTGAGTGTATTCTAGATATTCTGTAAAACTGACATAAGGCCAATATCTCTGAGAAGATAACAACATTTAAAGAATTTTTGAAAAATATATGTCTAAAACGGGAAAAAGTCAGAAAAATCTTGAAAGTCTTTCCTGATTTAGTAAGTTCATCTCGATTTTAATATGTTGAAAGTAGGGCATCCCTAAAACTTTGATTTATTGGTTGGTTGATTGATTTATTTGATTTATTGGTTGGTTGGTTGGTTGGTTGGTTGGAAGTGGACAGTGGACACTTTCACTCCGTCAGTGGACAGTGGAAGTGGATAACACTTTCACTCGGTCAGAGTGAACAGTGGACACTTTCACTCCATCAGTGGTCAGTGGATAACACTTTCACTCCGTCAGTGAACAGTGGACACTTTCACTGGTTCAGTGGCCAGTGGACACTTCTAATCCGACAGTGAACACTTTAACTTAGACAGCTGACACTTCCACCTGATTAGTGAAGGCTGGACACTTTCACTCGATCCGTGGACAGTGGACACTTTTTCGCGGACAGCAGACACTTCCCCTCGGTTAGCGGACACATACACATCTGCACTTTCACTCAACCTTTTAATAATTGTTTACAGAATTTTTGGTGAAGGAACATGTTATCAAATTATTTACTAAACTACTAATTACAAATTGATTCCGACTTCAAGAGGAAATTGAATTGTCTAAGATCAAAAAAGAAGATCTTTTCCTCATTCTTTGCAGGATTTACAACATATTACATATTAAAGGAGAAAGAGATAGAATAATGCCGAGTAAACATGAAACTAATATTTTTCATCTTCAAATATGTTTTTTTTTTGGGATGGTAACATATTAAATGGTGAAGGATCTTAAAGAATGCTAATAATGATTTTAAATTCTACTATTAACCCTAAAACTAATTTTCTTTGTTTTTAATTACTAACCGCATGGAGTATTCTCTCTACATTATTAACTTTAGTTCGTTTATGAAATCTCGGGAAAACAACTAGTCTTGTGTGTCATTCTGTTTTTATTTCCTGCATGAAGAAAAGTATTTTTTTACCTACACTGTGCAATGTGCATGCAATCTCAACTAACTAAGCTAATTCAATATATTAACTTTATTTTAAATATTTTGAATTTACATTTAGGTTTTAATGGTAAGTTTATGTGTTATTAATTATAGACTTATATACATAGACCATTTCAGACTATATTTATCATCTTTTATATTGATTGATTGGCTGATTGATTGATTGCTCAGGAGTTGAGATTATCCATGTTGCTACCTCCAGTACACCAACTAGAGAATACATAATGGACGAGGGTAAACCATAGTTCAAGGCTTGAAAGAAAATCAAACCTGTCCCACTCTTTTAATACTTCTGCCTTTTAAAAAAATATTAGTCCTAGGAACAGATTTAATGAATAGTGATAAGTATTGGAGCCACGGACTGCTGGTTTAACCAGTTTTTTGTGCGCCTGGTCAAGCTGAAGAGAAATGGTTCTTTTGTTGTTATTCAATAAATCTTTAAAAATATCTTTAAAATGTATTAATAGCATCTCAAGCTTCTGAGAGTGGGATTGGATGATTTTCCTTTAAGATTTTCTAGCATGGTTTCCTAGATCTGCATGCTACCCTTATATATATATATATATATAGATTTAGGGCTTCCAACTTCAGTATTTATTTAGCTTAGTTGACCGATTGGTTAAACTTTATGCTATATTCCTTTATATTTATCAGAGATTGTTCTTATGCTTAAGTGTAGCTGTACTGTACAATTTACTAATAGCTGTGAGGCCTGCATGACATATTTTTTAACCTTAATCTTAATTCATTTTCTTCCCTATGCTGATTGAAATGAAGAGTTGAAGGACATTGCTCTGCTTTATTACACAAGATAGGGTCTTTACCTTGTAATCTGGGTGTAAAGAACTTAATTTTAATTTCCTAACTAGATGAGGATAGTATGAAAAACTTCAAAGCAGCCCTGGAACGTTCTGTTTCGATAAAGAAGTCTGAATCTGCCAAGCAGACAGGGTTGGATAGGTCTATGTCAACTAGACAACCTTCTCGAGTACTTCCTAGTATTCCAGTTGCTAGATCCTTGTCGCTTGGTAGAAGTAAAGGTAGAGATGTGGTGCTGGGACTTATTTATCAGATTAGATGCTGATGATCCTTTATCTCATTAGTTTACGATAACAAGTGAAAAAGGATCATTCATTGTCGGAAGCTTACTAAATATTGCAATATTGTACAGAATTAGCAGGATATTTAGAAGTGATTAAACAAAGTTATATGTTCTGAAGGACTGGTGTGTGCTCTGTGCTGTCTAGGGAAGTTGTAATATAATGGTATCGTTCTTCTAATATTTTGTAGATAATCATGGTTTGACAGAAGTGAGGAATTCTGACTGTTGTGTACATATGCTGTTGTTCTTAAGGAAGCTTATTTTAACGCTGGTTCTGGGATAAAATAATATTCTCCCGCTTACTTCGCTAACTTTAGATAATCATATGTTTTTAATTGTGAGCTTTAAAATCTTTCGCATCAGATTAAATCTGATTTTTAATCAATGTTTTTTAATGCAAAAAAAAATTACAGTTATTAGTTGTAGAAAATTGTATTATTTTCTTTTCAGTATGAGATGATCATATATAATCATCAGATTAATTTTCGATTTCATTTTTGTATCATTATTTTGAATAGAAGTTAACAGGGACTGTAGAATAGTTATTAGTTAACATCATGTCAATTGTCAGGGATGTACTTTGTTCCTACTCATATCATGACATGTTACATAACCACTAGAAAAGAACCTAAGGAAATTGATTTTTATATCTTAGATTTTATCCGAGTTCACTTAAACATATTAACATTAATTTGTGAACCAGGATCAAATTCAGATAGGCTTGGGACTGTACATAGCTTTTATGGGACAAAATTCTTTTTTAAAAATTTTATTAAAACCAATTTTTGTTTAGGGGAGCACACATACAATGAGGAAACTGACGGAAACAGGACCTTCTCCGAAGGAGAAGCTGATACTAGCCGGGCAACAGACCCAGATTCTGCCCTCAGTCCAAAGAAGGAGAAGAAGAAGAAGGGGCTGAGAACCCCCTCTTTCCTTAAGAAAAAGAAGAAGGATAAGAAAGAGAAAACCCCTGCCTAAGCCCCTAGCTAAACTGTTTGTGATACTGATTTTTTGATTTTGACTCGTGATCCCTCTAGGGCCAGTACCTATGATATGGATCAACGACCATGAAAGATTGGCTTTAATGTTAGGGATATTGACCCAAACATTATAAACAATCTTTTCATCGTTTGGTCTTATTTATTGGGTAGAAGTGACCCTTCAGGCAGATTCGTCTCTTATACATCCCTCAGACAAAACACACTGCCGTCTTACAACAAAACCACAAATATTAATTTCACTAGGACAGCTTATGTCCCCTTGAAAACTGCTACTTTCCATGATAACTGAAATGTTATTGCGGGGGTTTTAGAAGAGACTTCGAGACGCGTTTTCCAAATCTCGGGATTTTTTATCTAGAGTATCCTTGTTTTATCCCCATTTATATTTGTTAGTTCTTGGCCTTGAACAACCTGTTATATTATCTAGACCCGCCTTTTAGAGAAATTAAAATGAAAAAGGTTTTCTACAGTTTACACATACATTATACACCCACACACAAAGGCTAATATGTGTAAATCGCGGCATATAGCACGATGTACTGGTCAGTGCAAAAAAACGCGCAAACCATGTTATTTTGGTGGATTCGCGTGGATTAGATTTGAGAAATATCGCTTATCATGCTTAGAATGTTTGCCTGGTTAGATGACTACAAAGTAAATGAGTGGAAAAAAGTTGTGAAAGCTGGTTTATATATGATACATTATACATGTTTCGGGTTCTTCAATCAAATATTTTGTCGGAGTTTAACACTAAGTGATGAACTAAGATTAAGATATTTGTTTTTCTTAAAAGTTTTATCTTTATTCTATTCTTAACTTGACATCGGAAACCTCCTTATTCCTTACTTTTAGTTAATTAACAACTACAGTCCATACAATATGAATAAAATTAACAATTGGCAGTTTTTTGCAGCTATTAACACTATAATTGACCAAAGTAAAAGTTGAATATATATAATTGTTGAAGCATTGCCTGTTTGTAAACAGATATATGACAGTACAGTCTCACTGTCTCGAATGTAAACACACTGTACAGTAAAATCCAGGGCTGGGTGCATGTACCGTAAAATTATTAGCTTTAAACCAGCTAAGTTCCAATTCCTGCCCCAGCCTCGGACCTGCAACTATTCCAGTCAATAATTGAATCTAGTTTGCGCTGCTGTTTTCCTCTTATAATTGAAAATATATACAGTAAAGAGTAAAAAATTTTATTTAAATTTTTAAAATAAGTAATAGAGATTTATAAAGTATTTTTTTAGCTAATGAACGATACTGTCATAAATGTGTGGTAGTTTTAAAAATGGATCAAAAAATTTGTTCCTGACTTGCTTTTAATGCTTTTTGTTTTAAAACTGTTGAAGAAGAAAAGCCTAGAATGTTCAATTACGGTTGTCGTCGTATATATCAATACAATGATCATGACTTTCGAATTCAATTTTGATTTTTACTAAGCATGGATTCACATTAACATAGGATCAAAGAGAAGCTGTCAATTAACAGCTTTTGTATCTTGCTTGTAAACTTGTAATTTGAAAAATGTCTGTTAGAAATCCAAACTTAAATTGAAAAAGTCATATTCATTGTATTGATATAAACGCCGACAACAGGAATAAAACTAGGAGAGGAAAACTTATAGCTTAGTTTTAGTTACAAGTAGAGAGAGAACGGGCCCTGCAGTAGGGAAACAGTACAACAAAATGACGGTTTTATATTTTTTACGACTTAATTTCACTCTATACTTTTGAATTCTCTTTGATAAAAGAGCAATACATCCATACAACTGAGGTGAAATTTATGTTTAATCATTTTAAGAAGAGAGAACGCTTTTAGAATATATTTTAAATTCGCTAATTTAAAAGTTGCAAACACTGAAGTTTGTCTTTTCTAAAAAGACTGAAAACGTAATTACGAGTAACTTTATTTATAGAGTGGCATGTTCGATTTACGTGGTGTCTTTTAGTACTTTGTCATGGGACACACACACATCATAGGTTCTTTAGTACTTTGTCATGGAACACACACACATAGGTTCTTTAGTACTTTGTCATAGGACACACACACATCATAGGTTCTTTAGTACTTTGTCATGGGACACACACATATCATAGGTTCTCTTTATCATGGGACACACACACATCATAGGTTCTTTAGTACTTTGTCATAGGACACACACACATCATATGTTCTTTAGTACTTTGTCATGGGACACACACATATCATAGGTTCTCTTTATCATGGGACACACACACATCATAGGTTCTTTAGTACTTTGTCATGGGACACACACACATCATAAGTTCTCTTTAAAATTGAGTATTTTAAATGTGGTATTTCTGCGATTTCTGATACAAAAACAATGGATGCAAGTGTTAGAAATGAACACTTTTTAAGCTAACAACACTAGTGAAGTTTACTCAATAATACAACTACACAGTTCCTTTAAGCCCAAATCTTCTATCGTCTCTTACATGTCATGATGTGAATTTCTGACTAGTTTTAGATTTTGTAATAAACTAAACAATTTGTAGATGTGTAGTTTTTCTACTTCTGGTAGTAGATACCACTGTAAACATGTCCGTTTCTGATATTCATTACTTTCCTCCTAAAAACAAGGTTTGTATTACAAAAGTATTTAAATATTTTTAAACAGGATGTCCGATCTCGGTGGTCTTCTTTTAACATGATGCAGGGTGACCCAAGAAACATGACAATAAACAAAATAGTTTTTTAAATATAACCTGATCCAGGGTAGAATAAGAGGAATATGAGCTGGTATAGATAGAGAAGGGAGTAGGATAGACAACTGAAGCAAGAACATAGAAATTATAATAATTATAAAAATAGATATTCGTGATAAATGGTTTCTCTATTGAGTTTATTATTAACTTTGTTACGTTATCAAAATTAATTAATTATTTGGTTTTCCATAAAACATTTCTAACTTTTATAACAATTCTAAATTCAGTTCTTTCAATTCAGCGTCATGGACTCCATGGACTAACCAATCGTTAGGCAACTTGTTAACATAATCATATCGGCTGTGTTGCTCGGCCCCCAAAAACTGAACCATCAACTTTAACCAGCAATCGTTGACTTTGTTACTTTGCTTGATTGATCAAATATACATGTATTAGAACTATATTTACCTAGGCGCGCGAAAAGTGGGGGCAAGATTCCCATAGCCTGATTAAGGGGGGGGGGGCAAACCCCCCCCTTAAGAAGGTTTCTCCCCCCCCCCCCCATTGTAGGAGGGGCAAGAAGTCCTTAACAGGGGTCCATATAGTTCCAAAAATAGCAAATTTTCTCGAAAATTTGAAAAAAAAATATACCCCCACAATAATTTATTTTTGAAAACCTACCCGCATTCTTATATAGTGATAAACAGAAAACAATTGAAGGACGACATTTCAGCAATACGTAAGGGTTTTGATGTTCGTACAAAGCAAATATCTTTACTAGTAACTTAGCAAAGCACAATTTAAGTGAAAAGGGTCTATTTACACTGTACATTTGCTATTTCTAATGTTCATTGAACTAGATTTAAGTCCAAACTTGAGTTTAAAAGTCGTCTTCCTATTTCAGAGTTTTCTGGTTATCACTGTAGCAAACTCAAATTCATTGTAACAATTTTCAATATAAGCTCAGATTATTTTTAATTCGTCCCCTTTCTGCAAAAATTGCCCCCAAATTGGATTTTTAAAATTACACTCACACATTCTCATTAAAATTGCCCCACCAGACTTTAATTTGCAACATTTGTAACACTTGGTTTTTTAGATTGCCACCAAATATTTTTAATTTGCACCTAAATTTAATTTGTATGCCTAAATGTTTTATAAATACACCCAACTTTAAAATTTACAGCCCTATTTAAAAAATTTGACTCCAAAAATAAAGATTTAAGATTTCCATACACAAAATTGCCCAAACTGAAAAAAGCTTTCCAAAATTAAAATTTGCCCTTAAAACAAAGAACCCCCCAGAAATGTTTATGGGAGGGGGCAAAAAATACTTGCACTTTGCTTCCCCTTGCTGAATGTCTAGTTGCGCGCCTGTAATATTTATCATGAACTTATTCAAACAAAAATACAATATCATGAACTTATTTAAACAAATATCAACTTTTTTGTATTTGAAAAAAAAATCGTAAGATTGTTCATGCATATTTATTGAATCTTACCTGGAATATTGATGGAACACAAGTTAGCCTTGTCAAATCCTGCCACCTAATTAATTGTTTGATAACAGGCACGTATGTAGGAATTTATCCAGGTTCAATTTATTGAACTCTTCAGGGGGGAAACGGCAAATTGTTCGGGACACAGCCCCCCCCCCNCCCCCTCACTTGACTCCAGCATGATCATGATTGTGGACCATCTTTAATCAAATTTTGTAAATTAAAAAGAAATACCAAAATTTTCTTTTGCGCTTCGCGCATCATTTCTAATTGAATTTCTAACTATTTTCCCTGTATAGTCAAGTACTGCTAGGGTTGTTAATCCTGTCTAAAAATGAAATAATCGGTTTTAGAAAAAACTATTGTTCTTGAAAACGACCCACTCGTTTTGAACTTTCAAAAAATGAAAAGCGATCGTTTTTTAATAATAATAGTTTTTTTAAAACGATCCGTTTTTGAAAAAAAATTTCTCTAATTAATCTGAGTTTTATGAAAATGAATTTCATTTTTTTTCAGGAAGATGAAGCTATGAATTTTGTCTTGAATGGTTTTTTATCTAGATAAATAATCTGAATGTTTTCTGACCTTGGATTTTCCTACCAAAAATGTTTTTTCTCTTTAAAAGGTCTTTAACGATCTGTAACGAAAGGTCGTCGTTAACGGTCACTAACGATGGGTCGTTTTCAAAAATAAATGTTTTTTTAAAACGATTGTTTCTTTTTAAACAAAAAAAGGTGGTTTATGAAAACGACCGTTTTTAAATAACAATATTAATTTAAAAACTTTCGTTTTTAAAACTATATTGTGGACAAATATCACTATAGTGGATGGCTGTAGATTGTAATAAGGGATTTTACATACAAGGTGTCCCACGAAACATGACAGTTGCTGAATATTTTAAAATGTCTTCTTCCATAATTTGTTCAGTTGTTTGATACCAAAGAAAACAATAATAAACATTATATGGCAGTATTGTTATAGTAAAATTGATCCCAGATTAAGATTTATTGGAGTAAAAAATCTATAAATCTAATCCAGTATTTGGAAGACGACATTCTAAACTATTGATCAACTGTCATGTTTCGTGGGACACCCTGTCATGGATATTTTAAGGATTTGGTATAGTATTGAGCACAGAGCCAGTCCTTCAACAATATGAAAATTCTCTTTTTTCACTTCAAATCCTTAAAACAGTTTTTTTTTCGACAGGGGTGCTAGCCTCCTTATACCCCCTCCCCCCGGGCCCCAGACTGTGAAAATAAAATTTCACAAAAGTGCTAGTTGCGCCACTGCTCAGGTATATAAACATCTCTGATCCATATAATAAACCTATCGAAGAAACTGGCGCTGTAATATCATAAGACCCTCCATTTACAGAGGATCATGTACTATATCTGATCCAAAATGTGGAAGATATTATCGTTTTTCTAGCTCTTTTATCAGGCATGCTTCTCTACAAATGGAGGGTCACTTGAAAAGTTTAAATTTTGTTACAGTCTCTTTAAAGTTTTTACTTAAACAAAACTTTGTTCTTGATTGAGATTTGTTATTAAGTTTAAAGCTAAGTTTTAAGAAAGGACAAAGAACTTTCACTGAGTTCTTTTAACAGGACATATAAGAACTTTTCAAAATGGTTCCAGTTGAAAAACTTTAACTCTGGAAAAATTAGGAAGTATATTCCCCCTCGTATACCTGGCTAGAACAGTGTGGGTGTATGCTAGGAGGAGAGAGAGCCAGGATAGGACGGAGAAGAATAGATTTAACTCCGTCCTGGAGAGCTTGACAACTGGGAGCAGGAGCAGGACAACCAGCACCAGGAAGATGTAAGAAATAATACCTTCATCAAATATTTTATTAAAAGGATGGCTTACGAAAGCAAAAAGGGGTTTATTCATATTCTGTAAAGTTATCTAAATATATTTTTTTCCCAGCACGATTTAAAAATTGTAGACTTTGAATACAAATTGTTGTATTGTATCTGATTGCTGAACGTGAAAACAGTTGGGGAGCCTAACAGACGTAGCATAAGGCTCGGAGACAATTTTTATTGGCTAGGAGGCTCCAGAGATCAGTTTGCGAGGCTCATGGATGCTTTGCACCCCCTCCCTCACTGTACCTGCAGGTAAAGAAGATCTGGAATATGTCTGTAGAAAGATAGAAAGCCAGGAGTGTACAACTGTAGAGAATAGAATCATTGGGAGTAGTTTACTGGTCAATTCTTTCCAGCGAACTAACCAGTTTGGAAGCTGGAGATATTTAGTACCTAAAGGAAAATTAAAACTTGTTATATATATATATATACATAGTGTCCTAACAAATATGGGAATTAAGATGCGACTTAAATATCGTCTTCGATTTCCAATAGTGAGTGAATGGCCTGTTCTGTAGAAAAAAGGTTAAATGTCTAATAGGCTTCCAAAACTGTGGCCAATCTTTTTAAAGTCTTCAAAAGGAATTGAGTCTTTGTCTCAAACTCTGATTTTCGTATCCCTTTATTTTTGCAACCCAATGTCTACTAGACTATTTTGATGTTGTGAAATAAATTCAAAGCCGGACAAATCTTGATTTCTCCGTCAAATTTAAATGTACAAAAATTGCAGACCAAATTTTGGTAATCTCAAGACCTAATTCTTAATTTCCACCATTACTGTATTCAGAGAAAAATGCCATGTACATCAAATACAATCTGAAGGCCGTCACTTAATCGGCTCCATCCCACTTCATGGGGGCGGACTTAAAGAGACTTTTAAGGAAAAATAAATGGTGGTATAGGCTGAAACCTTTTATATATTTCTCGAGACACAGACATCAGATAGAACTCAAATAGGTCGCGATCAACTCCAAAAGTGTCTATGTTTCAGCCTATATATCCTTAACAGTCCCTTTTTGTTCCAGATGTTGGTGAAAATTTCTGAGCCTTAGGGCAGCAGTGCAGTAAAATAATTTATTATTCCACTTTTCAATTTTATGCTAACCTCGGATAAGATAGATATAATCCTCTATAGTTGATGGAAGTTTGCTTGCTGATAGAAGTATAAGAGCCTAAAATTAAGCTATTGATAAAACTTTTTGATTAAAAAAAATGATTACGTGACTTAGTCTGTTTAACTTCATAATGTAGAAAACAGTATGATTGTCATCTTTGTTCTTTCCGCTAAGGATGTTGTATTTGTAAGTGTTAGAATATATCTCTGCAAAAATGTCCAGAGCTGGGAGCCTAGGAGCTGTTCAGTTTAATACTTATATTTCCGATCGCTTGATATCGATATCCACTGTGCACACTTTTAATTTGAGGATCCATGTATAAAAAAGCTAAACCTTTTCATATCTTCATTTTAGTTATTCTTCCCGTGATCAAAGCTTCCTTTAAACCCCCTTACTGAATACAATTAGCATGCGTGGGATGTTCAATAACGATTAAGTTAATCTGCAGATTAAAGCAAAAGATCAAGATCATAAAATATTTGTTTTTTTGTTTGTTTGTTTGGATGTCCGATCATAACTCAGGAACCCCTTGACCGATTTGCCTTACATTTTGATTGGGAAACCTTGAGTTCTTAACTTGGTTTTCAGATTATTAATTAATTGGGTCTACTTTGATAGGGAAAAATAGGTAAAATAGTATATTTACGACCAAGCGCAGTTAAACGGCGGGAGTAACTGTGAGTGTCCTTGGAAACACTTAGTTCTCATTTCTCAAGCTATATATATTATATATATTTTGATGCCTGGCCAGCTGATGCATGCTGTACAGTTGAGAATAGCCCAAATAAAATGGCGTCCCGATCCCACGTTTTCTCTCCGTGTGTACACACCAATTCTCTAAAAAGAGTTGTTTAATGTTTACAATATCAAGTAATAAAACACAGTCAAGGGACTGTCAACTTTTTTTTTCAATGGCCCTCTATTTAAAGAGTTACATACTCCCGATTAAAAAATATTCCTCCTTGGCTCTGCAATTTATATACATAATATCCGCAATAAACTTTTATAGACAAACCACAATTGAAAATAATCAATTTTTAGAGAGAAAATCATAGATATTTTCATAATTATTACGTAGAGAAAGAATTTAAAGGTATTGTTGTTAATCGGGCAATAAATTGAGAGTCATTTGAATTATCATGGACAGTCCCTTTGAAAAATACCTGATCCAGTCTATCAGGAATAGAAGAAGCCAAGTAGTGACTGATATTCCAGCCGCTGATCTCCACAATGGAAAAAGTCTAAGTGGCATATTTTCTATTTCTCGAGATTTGCTCAAATCTCCATAATCAACATCTCGGTGTCCTAGAAGCCTGAAATCACGAAATGTCACACTTGGATTTTTCATATCTTTTCCTAGAATATTTTTTTAAAATCACCTTATTATCGTTTTTACAAAGTTTTTTGCCCAAGAAGAATCTCCACATAGAGGTACATCTTTTACACAATTGGATGAACCTTGAAAAAAAATCATGGTTTTTAATATGGATTTCCCGCAGACGACATCTTGAAAATACCAAGTTGTTCTTGCTGTTTTACAAGAACGCTACAAGGTCGTCATTTATCTTTCACGATGAAATGAAACACCCTGTATCAAAACAAATTTTAAGCTCACCAGTTAAATCTTCAATGTCAAGTGTGCACAAGGATTTTACTAAGAAAACTCCCTCGGGTAATCTCTTTGATAAACATTCAGCCTAAAATTAACAGAAATAAAGGTTGGTCGGTAGATGAAGTAAACAATAAGTTATGCCATATTTATGCATTGTAAATTGTCTAGTTTTTGCGTGCCATGGATTTTAGTTTTTTAGTTCGTTTTTATTCAATTAAAAGGCTCCATTTTCGAATCTGAGAATTTATTATATTCTAAATGGTTTGCTTTAAAAATATGCTATTGATATTTTGTTCAAAAGTTTAACTCTGATTTAAATTTATTTCTTATATGACATAGCAAACATTTTGCACCAAGTTTCTAATAAAGACAAACTTATAAAGTTCCAATATTGAAATATAAAAACAATTCAGATTATAGTGGAGACCTTCAATGTTTTTAAAGAAACCGAAAATCTATGTCTAAAGCCATTACTAAACACAAGATAAAGTTCATTCCAGTCCATTCATTTGTTAAACAAAGAGCTCTGCTCCTTTAAAAATCTTTTAAAAAAACGTACTTGTTGAAAAGTTAAGTAAAGCTAAATTATTTTACCTGGGAGAGTTTTCCCTCAGAGATTATATTTCTTCTATTTGTAACATCTAACACAATTGTTCCAGGTTCGATGCCCCTAATCAACCTGATACAAAAAATTATATGAAACGGTAAAAACTTTTTAAAGATATTTTTTATCTAATGTTCATTTTAGGGATATCTGGTCATAAAACAAATACAATTTATCTGCAATGGATCCGAAAATTATGAAAAAAAACTTTAGATTTAACATTATGTCCATTTTAAAGCTAAAAATAGTAACCATTTGTGTACAAGGTCAAAAAGTAAACCTAATTACCCTAATTTTTCGAGGGTAAAGCCAGGAACAGCGAGCACAACAACTCCAGCACCCTTTTCATACAAAATTTTTTATTTTTAAATCATTTAAAAACATTAAAAATCCATCTTTAATTATCAAAACTCTGTGATATTTTATATTATATTGAATTTCCCCAGGCGTGTTTTCTACACAAAATTTTACTATTAATAACATTAAAAATTTATATATTCGTTGATCTATTCTTATTCGATTTTCTTTTCCTTTTTGAAAAATAGGCTTTTTGATTTAAAGATGCAAGTGAAAGGGGAATGTTTATATTATTTAAATCAAAAGCGTGAATAAATACAATAATTATCATCTACACATAAATATTAGTGACTAATGTTCAAATGTTAAAAAAATGTATGCCTGCATTAAAGTGATGAACACCACATTTATGTCGGATTCGGATCAGTGTAAAAATCAAAACAATAATCATAATGATATTGTTGGATCGTTATAATTATCAAATTGTTAGTTAACAAATTATTAATACCGAAGGTGTAAGTTCCACATTTTCTTCAATACAATAGTTCATGTGTAAATAATTAAAATGTTTATGACATTATAATTTAATATCAAAATAATAAGATCAAATATTCACCTAATTAACTCTGGATCTCTGCTACCCAAACGAACCAGTATTCCGTTCTAGGTTAGAAATGAGTAATATGATTTATGAGAACAAGATCAGAAAAGAAGATGATCAAACAAGAATTCGGTTCCTCATCTCATCGTTTTTCTGTATCCCATTGATTTGAATACTTAAACAATTTGTTGAGATGCAAGCTTTGACTTTAAGGCCTTCCCCCAACCCCACACTATGCATGCTATACTTTTTTCCGACACCCCCACCCCCGTCGGCCATTTTAGAGTTATAATATACCTGAGAAAGTCTGGAAGCTATTGCTATACCTACAGGTCCTGTACCAATTATACAGACAACAATACCATTCATTGTGGTTTGAGCAGAAAAGAGATCTGACAAACTTATCAATATAGTTATAGTTTTATTTTCAAACTCAAAATACAGTGTAATAACTAATAATATATAGCGTAGCTAAAAATAAAACAAATATAAAATTTAATGTGACCCAATTGAAAATATAATTTATATAATAAAACAAGCCATTCGTATATGTATATGTTGCGTATAGCCGGCCAAACAGCTGGACCGATTGGGTTGAATTTTTTTGTGGACACTCATGGGTGGCCGAGGGATAATATGGGCTAAAAAAATTCACCTCTTTTTTTAAAAAAATGTTTTAAAATATTTTTTTTCAATTTTTTTTTTCACGGGTAACGCCGGGCTGATCTTCAGCTAGTGTTTAATAATTTTGTTCTGATCGGTATCTATATATAAATTTGGCTTGTCTGTTTGTTTGTTTGTCTGTTTGTTTGTTTGTATCCAATAAACGTCAAAACGGCTGAACCGATCGGGCCCAAATTTTTTGTGGGACATCTAGGGAGCCCAGGGAAGGTTTATGAATCATCAAAATTTCAAATATTTGTCTCTATCAAAATTCGATCGTCATTAAATTTTTTAAAATTTTGAAAATCCGCGAAATTTTTTGTGAAA